CTGCATGTATGTCTGTGCAAGGGTGTTGGAGCCCCTGGAGGCAGAGTCACAGACAGTGGTGAGCTGCCATGTGGGTGCTGGGAATTGAACCCAGGTCCTCTGGAAGAACCACCAGTGCTCTTAACTGCTGAGCCATCTCTCCAGCCCCCCAAACTTTTAAGTCTTTAAATTTACTTTTATTTATTTTTTATATGTGTATGTTTCTCCTCCCCCTCCCCCCATTTGTGTGTCTGTCTGTGCGTTCATAAGATAACTTGGGAGAGTTTCTTTTCCTTTCACCATGTGGATTCAGGAGATTGAACTCAGGTCATCATGCTTGAGGACAGCTGTCTTTAACCTAGGTCATCTAACTGCCCCTTCCTTTTTATTTTTAATTATGCATTTATGTGTATTTGTGTGTGGGTATATGCACAAAGTTCAGTGCCCATGGAAGCCAGAAGAGGGCATCAGACCTCCTGAAACTAGAGGAGGACCAGGTTATTGTGAGCCAGTTGATGTAAGTGCTAGGAACAAAACTCAGGTCTCGTTCCCTCTGCATGAACAGTACATGCTCTTAACTGCCCCTTAAAATGGTTTTTATGTAGAATCTTTTTCTTGCTCACTGCAACATGTAGATACAAGCCACGTGTGTCTTGTCAGTGGGGACATGTTTTAAGAAAAGCATCACAGGTAAGTTGTCTTCATTGGTGTGAATGTCAGTACTGGGCACACACTTGCATAGGCTCTCCATTATCTGTGTTCTATCAGTGCACTTGAAGTGCCGTCATGTGGTGTATGATTGTGTTTCTGAATAAAGAAGAATAAGCACGTAAAGAAGCAACTGTAAGGATTCAGGGTATAGCCCATTTGGTAGAGAACATGTCTGTCATGCGTGAAGCCTGGGGTTCTCTCCCAGGCACATGGTGCACAATTGTAATTCCAGTGCTCAGGAGGTGGAAACGGAATTTAAAGTCAGCCAGGTTACGTGGGTTACATGACAGGAAAGGGGGAGATAGAGCTATGGGGTGGGGGATGTGTATCGCCTACCTTCATAATGAGAAAGCCTTAAGATTGAAATTTTAGAAAATAAAAGATAGGATTATCTGTAACTTTAGGCAGTCAGAGCTTAGATTGGAGCTCATGAAGCACTTGGACCTATCAGTTTTTGACACGGCGTTGTGTTTAAGAGCTTCTTTTCCTTCCTGAAACAAGGTCTCTGTGTAGCCTTAATTGTCCTGAAACTCACTCTGTAGACCAGGCTGGCCTCCACCTACCAAGTGCTGGGATTAAAGGTGTGCACCACCACTGCCTGGCGTGTTTAAGAGCTTTTAATAAATCTTCCTGCTGAGAAGACTGATATCATTAACCTAGGAAATTAGATTAAGATCATTGTCATACTAGTTGTAAAAACTCAGGAGACTCACTCACTCCCTGGCCATCTTGGCAGCTGCTCTTGGTTGAGGTCTGTCCTGCACCTAAGGCAGGAAGATGGCAGCCCCAAAGATGAAAACCTCTGGAGTCAATCAGTTCTAGGCTTCAATTTGCTACAAAAACTGGAGAGTGCATGCTGGTACAAATAGACTCTGAAGCTGATCAGACAGGGCAAAGCGAAGTTGATTATTCTTGCTGTCAACTGCCCAGCTTTGAGGAGATCTGAAATAGAGAACGCTATACCATGTTAGCCAAAACTGGTGTCTGTTACTCCAGTGGCAATGACATTGAATTGAGCATAGCATCTGGGAAGTACTACAGAGTATGCACTCGATTTATCATCTACCCAGGTGATTCTGATTGTAGAAACATGCCCAAACAGACTGGTGAAAAATCAACCAGAAGAGCTTTTCTTGAATGAAATTTTGCCAGAGCTCATTAAAAACAAAACAAAACAAGGCATGGTGACCACATGCCTTGAGTCCAGCACTTGGAAGATAGAGAGTTTTGTATTTGTGACAAATAAAAACCAAAAGCAGGAGCTGGAGAGATGGCTCAGCAGGTAAGAGCACACTGGCTGTGCTTCCAGAGGCCCTGAGTTCAACCCCAGCACCCACATAGTGCCTCACAGCCATCTGTAATGAGATCTGGTGTCCTCTTCTGGCCTGCAGGGAGAATGCTGTATACATAATAAATAAATAAATTTTTAAAAAGAAAAAAAAACTCAAAAAAAGTGTATGTGGGAGCTGGTGCAATGGCTCAATATGAAATACTTGCCTAACCCCGAGGGCCTGTTGTGAGTTCAGACCTCAGCACTCAAGAGCCATTATTGGGTCTTTGTGCTGTGACTGTGCACTGTGGGCAGTGACAAGAAAGTCACTGGGGCTCCAGGTTCAGTTGCAAGCTCCTGTCTCAGCGGATAAGGTGGAGCATGTAGAGCAGAGTGCCTGTCATTTACCTGGGACCTCTGCACACACGGGGTGCACACTTGCACCCATGTTTGTACATATGCCAAAAGAAGGGAAAATCATGGCAATTTTTTCTTTAAATTTTTTGGAAATTGGCATGATTAATATATTCCCTTCAGAATTATCAAATAACACATTTCTGTAATTCCTCTAAATTTCCTCTGCCTTAATAATAATAAAATTTTGCGTCTGTTGATCACTAGTGATTGTTCCCAGTCACTGTGATAAATGCTCTGTTTAATACCTTCAAGTCCTACAATGGTCTGGTGGCAGCAGCTGATCGTATAAGTGATGTACATAAGTGGCTTGGAGGGAGTTTATCATTGACATGCCATCTATCTCAGAGGACTGAGCCCATTCTGAACCAGATCTTTTTATAGTTAGTGACGCTGAGGCTAGAACTCAAACCTTGAGCTCTCTACACTGATTGACATTCATAGACCCAGATCTCTGTGTGTGTCTGTGTGTGTGTGTGTGTGTCTGTGTGGGTGTGTGTGTGTCTGTGTCTGTGTGGGTGTGTGCACATGCTTGTGTTGATGTTTGGCTAGAGGTCAATGTAGGACGTCCTCCTCTGTTGCTCTCTACCTTGGGTTTTTGTTTTTTTGAGATTTGATCTCTCACTGAGTTTGGAGCTTGCTGATAGTCGGATGGGCTGGCTAGCAAGCCCTCTGTATCCATTTCTCTCCACACACCCCCACACCTCCTTCCTCCAGCCAGGAGGCTCCATACCCACCCCACCCGGCCTAAATCTCAGACTGTGTAGTGTGTACACATGCTCGTGGATCTCTGTCTGCTTTATTCATGAAGTCCAGTCTCAGTCAGGTTAGAGGTCAGTGACAGCTAGCGTCTAGTCTCTGTAGCCAGTTGGTGTCAAGGATCCTTGTGTCCACCTTTCACTTCGGGAGCTAGAGTTACAGGTAGGTCAGCATATACATGGGAACTCTCTGGTTTGGGATTCAGGTCCTGAAACCACTAATCCACCTCGCCACCCCCAGGTGCAGTCATAGAGCTCAGTTCTTTCAGGTCCATAACTTTCCCATTGAGCACACAGATTCTTGTGTACCTCATGTATACTCCTGAGTTCCTTTTGAATGAGGGAAGACACTTCATGAGGTGTAGTCCTTTTGGGTGTTTGTTTGCTTTTAGTTTTTTGTGACAGTCTCATAGCCCAGACTGGCCTCAAACTTGTGTATTAAAGCTGACTCCCCCCAAGTGCTGGTCTAATAGGTGTGTCCCACCACTGCCAGCATTATGCGATGCACTCTTGAAGCCTTGCTCGAGGAGTTGGTAATCTGCCTTGTTTTTTCAGTTAGTGAAGTTTCCAGTTCCCTTAGATGTGAAGGAACCTCACGAGCAGAAAAGGAAGATGTCTCCTCCTGTTTGAGCTTTATTGTCTTTAAGAAGAGAGAAAAGCCAGGTGGTCCTACACATCTTCAGTTTCAGCACTGGGAGCCAGAGGCAGTGAGTTCAAGGCCAGCCTGCTCTACCTGGCAAATTCCAGGTCAATCAGGAATGCACAGTGTGACCCTGTTTTAAAAATAAGTTGGGCTCTTAACTGGGTCAGCAGTTAAGAGCACTTGCTGCTCTTTCAGAGGACCCAAGTTCAGTTCTCAGCATCCGTATGCCAGCTCACAACCATCTGTAGCTCCAGTTCCAGGGGAGCCAGTAGTCTCTTCTAGCTTCTCTGGATACTGCATGTATGTAGTACAGTTTCACACTGTCTTAGTTTGGATTTTTATTGCTATGAAGAGACACCGTGACCATAGCAACTCTTAGGAAGAAAGCATTTACTCAAGGGGGCTCACCTACAGTGTCAGAGATTCAGTCCATCCTGGCAAGGGAACATGGCAGCATGCAGGCAGAGTTGGTGCTGGAGTTGAGACTACTACATCTTACAGGCAACAGGAAATTAACTGACACACTGGGCAGTATCCTGAGTATATGAAGCCTCAAAGCCCGCCCCTACAGTGATATACTTGCTCCAAAAGGCTATACCCACTCCAACAAAGCCACACCTCCTAATAGTGTCACTCTCTATGGGATTATGGGGGCCAATTACATTCATTCAAACTACCATACACACAAAGGCAACACACACATAAAAACAAAATCTTCCCAAAAAAGAAAAAGAAGGAGATAGATGCTTTACCACTGCTGAATCTGGGATGATTCCTACAAGGCCTTGACCTTAGTAAATCTGCCATCGTGGTGACCATGTTTCTAGGCCAGTAACAAACAGTGTGAATGTGCTCTCTCTGGTGGTTTCCCAATCTTTGAGACTTCTGAAGACCCAGGTTGGGATTTTCAGCAGGCTGCTGCAGTCGAGTTGCCCGAGGTCTGGGTGGTTCTTTCCAAACCCTCGGAGCATGGCTCTGAATGCTAAAGTCATGTTTCTGTTACATGTCCGTGTTTGCAAGTGACCACTCTACTCACTAATACTGAAAGTTGTTTGTTCCAAGGAGTGAAAGCTCAGAAATCCAAGTAATTAGAGACTGTTTAGATAAAACGAGAGATGGAGCTTCAGCATTTGGCCTTCACGTTACACAGTTGAACTTGCTGGGTAGATGTTAGTTGGTAAGCGCTGTTGTGTCTAATGCTTTCCCCTCGCTGATTTCACAACAGAGAAGAAGACACAGAAAATGAAAAGGAAAAGAAAGTTTGGTACTACAGTACAAAGGTCCAGCTTGCAGAATTAATAGACTGTCTAGACAAAGACTACTGGGAAGCAGAACTGTGCAAAATTCTAGAAGAGACGCGAGAAGAAATGCACCAGCACATGGACATAACGGAAGACCTGACCAACAAAGCCCGGGGCAGCAACAAGTCCTTTCTAGCAGCAGCTAATGGTGAGGGGGCCTTCTTACTTGATTTTTGTTGTTAAATTTGAGATAAGCTCTTATGTAAAAATATTCTGAAACTTAGAAAACATGTAAAGATGTCCAACTTACATATGCTTTGCTTTGGCTTGATAATGTTTTTTTTTTTCCTACAGTGTTCCTATACATGCTAACACAGTTTGGGGTGCTGTACATTTTAGTGTTTTGTTTCTTGCCTTGGTCGCTGATTGTACCTCCTATCCCCACAAATCAATTGTTTCTTGTTTGTAACCCAGTCCGGGTTCAATTCATTATATAGCCCAGATTGGCCTTGAACTCAAGATCCTCCTGCTTCAGCTGTCAGAATATTGGAACTGAGGGGGGTGTTCCACCTTTCCTATCATTTGTATCACTCTATTCCTTCCACACTACAGACAACTTTATAGAACATTTTTTTTTATTTCAGCCACGTGACTCTCACCCACACACAAAATCAAATGGATGCACTTCCTGTTTCTGTGTCCTCAGCTCTCAGTATATAATTTTTTAGACAACTATACTGAGTTGTTTTATCTTCTTAGTGTTAGGGAATCATAGGCTAGAAACATACTCTATTACTGAGGTTCACTCTCAGTCCCTTGAAGAGATTTTCTAGTTGTGGAAAATGTTCTCAGTAACTATAGTTTAAGAAATAAGAACAAAATGAAGGTGGGGAACACTGAAGGAAGGAGATAGAAACAAGGACTGTGGACCCCAGAGGAGCATTTGTTTGTGTTTGTAAACTTTGCACTGCAGTGGGGAGCTTGTTTCCCAGGAGAATTTGTTTTAGTAATTCTGAAACTGCTTTGCCGTGGCCATCCTTAACCAACCACTGGGTTCTCTGTGAAGAATGTAGCCAGTTTCTCACTGAGAAATTACAAAATAAGCATAGAAGTAGTGGTGCAGTGAACCCAAGACACGCCTACCTACATATGAGTAGATACTGGAATCATATGTATATTTATTAGGTGCAGACATTTCCTGTTATAGGACCCAGATTGTATGGCTTCTAAACATTTTCTAATCATAAAAAGAACTAAGATTTGGGTATAGTGACACACGCCTTAATTCCGGCACTTGGGATACAGAGGCAAGTAAATCTTTGTGAGTTCAAGACTATCCTGGTCTACAGAGTGAGTTCTATGACTGTCAGAATTGCATAGTGAGACTCTGTCTCTTAGGGGGGAAAAAAAAAAACAAGATTCCTAAGACAGATGGTCGATTATATATACAGCATGGGCAGGAAGAATAGAGGACACCTGGAAATTTTTGAATGTTGGAAGTTAATGATATTTAGAGAGTGGAGTGATGGCATATGCCTGCAATTCTAGCATTTAGTGGGTAAAGGTGGGAGGAGGTCAGGCCAGGGGCTGGAGCCCTTAGGAGTGCCTGTTGTTGTTGCAGAGGACCCAGGTTCAGTTCCAGAATCCTCATGGTGGTTCACAGTCATTCACAACTGCAGTTCTGATGCCTTCTTCTGACCTCTGAGGGCACCAAGTACACGTGGTATACATACATACATGCAGGCAAAACACAGACACACATAAAGCAAAATGAATAAATTTTTGTTGTTGCTGTTTTTTCGAGGCAGGCTTTCTTTGTGCATCCCTGGCTGTCCTGGACATGCTCTATAGATGAAACTGGCCTCAAATTTAGAGATCCTCCTGCCTCTGCCTCCCAAAGGCACGCACCACCACCTCTAAAATGAATTTTAAAAAAAGTTCAAGGCCAACCTCAGACATACTGAATTTGTGTCCAGTCTGAGCCTCATAACATTTGCCTCAAGCAACCAAACAGACAAACTAACAAGAAAAGGTACTTGGTGGATGTGATAGCATATCGTAGCTACTCGGGATGCTGAGGCAGCAGAATTGTAAACATCAGATAGTCTGGGACTCATAATAATTCATCTCAGAGGATGCATTTACCATAACCCAGTGAGTCTGTCTAGTGTCCATGTGTCCACACTGATTTTCCTTATGCTGGTGCTGTGCCGTGGTGTCACCCTCACCCAGTTAGAAAGTGTTTCCATGTGGGCCTTTCTGCTCGTTTTACCCTGGAGGAGGCAGGGTCTGCAGATCCAGGAAGCCTGCTTAGGCTCAGGGAGCAGTCACCTCAGCTCCACACTGTTTCCAGGTCTGCTTTCCTCATTGCACTGTGCTGCGTAGCCTGAGTCTGTCTCATGGTGGGGCATGTGACACTGATGGACATCAAGTCTCACTTTGTTTTTTTTTTGTGTGTGTGTGTTTGTTCTATTTTGTTTTTGTTTTTCGAGACAGGATTTCCCTGTAGCTTTGGAGCCTGTCCTAGAACTAGCTCTTGTTGTAGACTTTGTTTGTTTGTTTTAAAATAGTTTATTTAACTTTATGTGCATTGGTGTGAAGGTGTCAGATCCTGAGGAACTCTTCTGAGCTAGGAATTGAACCTGATCTTCTGGAAGAACTGCCAGTGCATCTGAGCCACTCTCCAGCCCCCCAGGTCTCAGTTTTAAGAGTCAGACTGTTTTCTCTGAGGCCGAATATTGCCATGTAGTCCAGGTACACCTGGGTTAGAGGTGTGCTTCACTGTCTTCTGCCTTTGCCATTTCATCTTTACAAAGAAAGTTAATTTTATAGGTAGGATTCTAGGATTTATTTTTTAAAAATGAGGTGCCCTGCTCTAATTGAGCTTTGTAAATGTGGGTTGTTTTATTTTGTCCCCTCGCACTTTTTTTTTTAAAGGCTGGGTCTCACTGTGTAGCCCTGGCTATCCTGGAACTCAGTGTATAGATCAAACTACCCTCAAACTTTTAGAGATTCATTTACCTCTCCCTCCTGAGTCCAGAAATTAAAGGTGTGCACCACCATATGTAACCTTAAAGATCTTCTTAAAAATATTGTTTATGTGTGGGTGTCCCAGGAGACCAGAGTAGAGCTAGAGGTACAGGCAGGTCTGAGCCTCTTGATTGACACGAGTGCTAGGACCTGAACTTGGGTCCTCTGCAAGAGCAGCAAGTGCTTTAACCATTGAGCTGTATCTCTCCAGCCCTTTATTATTTGAGACACAATCTCTTTGAGCCTGGTGCTCGCTGATTTCCTAGGCTGAGTAGCCACCAAGCTACAGGTATTTCCTTCACACCCTCAAAGTGAGCTATTGCACCCAGCTTTATGTGGAGGCTGGGGATTCAAGCTCAGGTCTTCTAACTGGTTTAAAGACTTAAAAATATTAAACAGTAAACTTTATTTTTTTTAAATCAAGTTCTCACTATGTAGCCCTGGCTGTCCTAACCTGGAACATGCTGTATAGATCAAGCTGGCTTTGTACTCGATCTACCTACATTTGAACCCTGAGTGCTTGGATTAAAGGTGTGCACCACCAAGCCTAACAAACATTAAAATTCCTAAGTGTCATTTGTTAGTAAATTTGACTACGAGAAGAAAACAATTACATCTATTTTTCATTATAGAAGAAATTTTGGACTCATTAAGAATCAAAAGAGGGGAAGATATTGACTGTGATCAGAGCCCAGAAGAAACAGAAAAAGACAAGAATGAGGTCGAGAGTGACAGTTCCAGAGATGCCGAGAAGAACAGGGAGGACTCGGAAGACCAGTCCCTGGAGAAGGACAGTGACAACAAAGCCTTGGGTGAAGAGCCTGGGCAAGGAAAACCTGAGGGTAAAAGAATTACTTGGTTTAAAAGAAATATTTTATTAATGCCATTTGTTTGAAACCTCCAATTTTACTTGGAAAATGGAAATGGAAATTTTTAGAGCAGACAGCTATTTTCTAAAGATATTTAAGAGAGTCTCTCCTTTGTGATATTACAACCATTGGAATGAGTTTTATGTACTGATGGATTTGCTATAATGTTACACGTATATTCCCTAAGAAGTTGGCATCCCTTGAAATTTGTTGATGAAAAAATAACTATTTTTATACCAGAATATACTTTGGTATGTGATTAAAAAATGTGTTCTTAAAAAATTAACTCTAAAACCTCCTTAATATTTTAATATCTTTGTCTTTGGATGGCTCATTTGCAAAGCTATCCCAGAGTCTGAACTGCTTTAAAACGGCCATCAAAGAGAAGCTGGTTTTTTGGTGATTGATGATTTTTCATAGTTGACTGAATGTGGCCACTTGTCCCAAAGCAATTTTAAAGCATATCTTTAAAGTTTTGTTGTGCATTTTGCTGTAGAGCCAACAGAAGTTGGGGATAGAGGTAACTCTGTGCCAGCAAATCTTGGCGACAACACAGCTAATGCTTCTTCAGAAGAGACTAGTCCCTGTGAAGGGAGGAGCCCCGAGGGCTGTCTCTCAGAAACCCATGATAGCAGCAACATGACAGAGAAGAAGGTGGCATCTGAGCTCCCCCCGGATGTGCCAGGTACAGAGGGCAGTGTACCAATGCCTCTGTAATGATGGGGGGAACCCTTCCCTTTGCAGTAAAAGCTGCATGTCACCTAGAACCTGAAAGTCTGCATTCATCCATGCCGCTTGCTCACAGTGCCATTCCTGATTGCTAATCTGTCACCTAACATTGATGTTTGGCAGATGGTCTTGCAGTTAGTGCCTGGAACTCCCTCTTAGTCCCCATGCTTGTATTTCTTAGATGGAATTGTATGCCTGGTCACCAGACCATCCTGGCCGAGATTTGATTTGAGTTACTTACATAGTAATGTCTGTTTCCTTGTTGAGTGACATGGCCCTTCTGGCTCTGTATATACTAACACATTAATTTTCTGTTTGCATGTGCTCATGTAGTGCTACATGTCAGATCATAATATTACCAGAGAATCCATTATCACCAACATTTCTGCAAGGTGCATTGATACGCTAACCAATATTTTTAACTTTAACCTTTTTAAACTTCATTGGAGTAACTTATCATACTGAGAATGTATAATTATGACCTTTTTGCTTTTCAAGAAATCCAAAGGTGTTTTTATTACAGCGTGTGTGTGTATATGTGTGTGTGCATGTGTATATGTATATATACTCACATATATAAGTCAGATGATTAAAATCAAAAAGTAAGTATCAATATCACACAAAAAAAGTCATAGTTGGAAGAAATCCTTAGAGGTCCTTTTCTGTGACTATGAAAGTATTGCTTTGTGTTAGTTGTGCTGGGATGTGCCGGCTGTGTTGACACACTGCTGTTTAAAAGCTGTGCGTTCTAGGTCTTCTGCCCATAAGTCAGTGCCATCCACCCCTTTAAGAGCCTCCAGATTTTTGATTGGATTGTGAAAGATTTTGGCAGCTAGTTGAAAACCCCAGTGAAAGCTTAGGTTGTGTACAGGCTCCACGTGAACCCCAGCTGTCAGCAGAGCGTCTGACACAGTTGATAATAGGGGGACTGGGCTCATTAAGATGTGGGAAATCTGGAACCTATATGCCAGTGAAACAGAGAGAGCTGCCTGGGTGTGTGGTGTGCAGTCTGTAGTCTCAGGGCTAGTGAGGCAGGCAAGCAGGCAGGCACTCAGGGCTAGTCGGGGTTAATGAAGTGAGACCCTGCATCAAAACACAAAAAGTTAAAAAAAAAAAAACTCGTTTAGACCCAGAACACTACAGGTTTGGCAGTTGAAAAACTAATATTCCTGCAGTATTTGGGGCACTGAACTGGGGAGCCAGTAAGGATCAGGCTTTCTGAAATGTGACGTCATAAAAGTAGAAACTAGAAGGGAATATTCTGATTGACTATTAAGAACTTTCTTAAAATTAGAACTGTTTAGAAAATAGAGCTGTCAGTGAGAAAGGTGGCGTTTCCCAGGAGTGTTTCCTCAGGGGCTGAAGGAACACAGGTTTATAATTTGTTTCAACAGCTAAGTACTTCTAGGTTTTCGTCAGTTTTATTCTCATTTCCACATATTCAGGGTTAAAAGTTTTAAATATTGAGTACTATTGCTGAAGTAATGTGGGAAAAACAACTTCCATGCTTGTTACTTCTTTTAAAAAAATTTATTTTAAAGCTTTGTTTGTTTGTTTGTTTGTTTTGTATGCAGTGTTCTGTCTGCATGTATGCCTACAGGCCAGAAGAAGGCGCCAGATCTCATTACAGATGGTTGTGAGCCACCATGTGGTTGCTGGGAATTGAACTCAGGACCTCTGGAAGAATAGCCAGTGCTCTTAACCTCTGAGCCATCTCTCCAGCCCACTTGTTACTTTTTAATTATAATGTAAATCTTAGTTGTACTAGGGCTTCAGGTTTAATATAACTGATATGTTTTTAAACCAAATTTGGTTGATTCTAGTCTTTGTGTGCTGTTTTAGATTATTTTACATTTATTTATTTATTTTGTGTGGGCAAATGTGGATGAACACGTGCACATGCGTGCACATGCTCATGTAATGGCAGATATACAGATCCAAGGACACCCTGCTGGAGACAGTTTCTCCTTCCTGGGGATTGAACACAGTTTGCCAGGCTTGGCAGCAATCACCTTTACCTTTTGAGACATCTTGTCAGCCTTTATTTTGTACTTGTATTAAGTAGTTGATATTACAGTAAGTTTCAGACTCTGTAGTCTGCTGGGAATACATGACAAAGTAGAGTGGAGTCCTTGATGACTGCTTCCTGCTGGGTAGCAGTAGACCTGGGAGTGCGCTCTGGCCTCCAGGGGGGGCGCGCTGCTGTCTCCTGTGCCTTCTGCTTCTCTCTGTTCTTTCTTGTTCAGCAAGTAATTGTGTTACTGTTCTTGGGAGGGTGCTGTGTGCTTTGTGAAGCCCCCAGCCAGCCTCTGTTGTCACTGTTGATGCCCCTACTGGTCAGTGGATGAGGTGGTGAGATGGTCAGTGTGTGTAAAAGCTCTTAGTAGGAACGTATGGTAGAAAGCAATAACCAGCTCCTGACAGTTGTCACCTGAACTCAACATGTGTCCTGCGCTATATATGTGCCTGCCCCCTCCCCACTAATAATAAGTACACTTTACCAATGGTAGTCACCTTGAGCTGGAGAGATAGTTCAGGCATTGAAAGGACCTGAGTTCTTGCCCCAGAATCTTTAAAGTCAGGCATGATAACAGATAATCTCAGTGCTGGGAAGACTGGCCAGGGAGTCTAGCCTACTCAGAGAGTCCCAGACCAGTGAGAAAGTAGTTCAGAGATCATGTTGGCAGGCGAACATGGTTCCATAGCTCTTGCTGGGTAAAGCTGACCATGTGAGTTCATTCTCCAGAACTGAAGTAAAATAAAGGAGAGAACTGACTCCATGCACACCTTTCCTCTGACTAATTAGCCTCTGATCTTTCTTATTTCTTTGCTTTTTCCATCTCTGATGGCCCAGCTTCTGAAAGTCAAGGCTGTGATGCCCTCCTGTGCTTGCTCTCAGCACTTCAGTTTCCCTCTGCATGACTGCAGTTAATTCTTTTTGGGTGGTGATGGGTGTGGGCCTGTGGTCAAGAGACAAGCACTGAGTTATATCCCCAGTGTGAGTTTGACATTGATAAATGTCTGATTTGTGCTTGATGAAAACACACACATTTGTTGTTGGGTACAACACAAGACAGTTAAGTCAAAATTTTAAATTGTATTGTTCTAATGCAAGTCTCTTTCCTCCTCCATTGTAAGTTGTTTAAAATTATTTGCAGCTGTTTGCTTTGAGAGTGACTTTCTGACTTGTTTGTGGTACCAGGGATCGAGCCCCATAGCTTAGCATGCTAGGCAAGTGCTCAGCTACCCTCAGCCTCTCAGGTTTTTTCAGTTTATTTTTACCAGGAGCATCCAAATTTTATATTTTCTTTTGAATTAGTATCTTAATTATTTTGAAATGTGCATTATATTTAATAATATTTCCAAGCTATACTACCTTCGGATTGGCATTTACTTTCTCTAGTAGAAAAGTTGTTGTTGTTTTTTTGAAGTTTTTTGGGGTTTTTTGTTTTTGTTTTTTCTGAGACAGGATTTCTCTGTAGCTTTGGAGCCTTTCCTGGAACTAGCTCTTGTAGACCAGTCTGGCCTCGAACTCACAGAGATCCACCTGCTTCTGCCTCCCAACTGCTGGGATTAAAGGTGTGCCGTCTGGCTTGAAGTTTTTCTTTTGAATGAGTGAGAGTTGATGTGAATGCAGGTGCCCATGGAGACCGGAAGAGGGATCACATCCTCTGCAGCCAGAGTTAGAGGCAGTTGTGAGCCAGCTGATGGAGGTGCTGGGAACTAGAGTCAGGTCCTCTGCAAGAGCACTGAGTGCTCCAAGCCTCTGAGCTGTATCTGCAGCCCCTAGAGCAGAAACATTGTAACATGAACATTTATTTATTTACTGTGGGCTAAGGTGTGCCAAGGCATGTTGGTAGAGCGCAGAGAACAGCATAGTATGACTTGTGAAAGTTTGTTTACCAGTCTACCATGTGGTTCCTGGGGATAGGACTCACATAGTCCAGCTTGACAGAAAGCGCCTTTATGAGCTGAGCCGTCTTGCCAGGCCTTAATAAGAAGATTTAAAATCTAGACATGCAACCATTTTTTTTTGAGATTTTATTTTTATTTTTTATATTTATTTATTTATTTTGTATACAATATTCTGTCTGCATATATGCCTGCAGGCCAGAAGAGGGCACCAGATCTCATTACAGATGGTTGTGAGCCACCATGTGGTTGCCAGGAATTGAACTCAGGACCTTTAGGAAGAGCAGGCAATGCTCTTAACCACTGAGCCATCTCTCCAGCCCACATGCAACCATTTTCAAGATTTACCTTTATGTAACATCCCAACAGAGAGCAGTATCACTTTTAGGGAGTTCAGTAAAAGGAAAAGTAACAGATGTAGCCAAAAAAACAAAGGATCCGAATATAAAGTAGACAGATGCCTTAGTAACCATCCTATGGTGTGGTCAGAGATCTGTAATATTTCCTGTGGCTCAGATGAAGGAAGGCTAGACTCGGAAGTTGGGTGGTGTTAGTTTGAAAGACAGCATTATTTTTATTTACTGTGTGCATCTGGGTTCAGTGTCTGGAATTTGCAAGTATCGGTTGCAGATGTACTGACATTATTTCTGTATGGCTCTTTTCTGTTACGGTTTTGGGTTGGTTGGCTTCTTTTTTTTTTTTTTTTCGTAGGGGGGTGTTGAGACAGGTCTCTCTGTGTAGCTCTTGCTGTCCTGGAACTCACTCTATAGGCCAGGCTGGCCTCAAACTCACAGAGATCTATCTGCCTGCCTCTGCCTCCTTAAGTGCTGGAATTAAAGGCCTGTGACACCACCTCCTGACTGCCTTTTCTGTTCTGTTTAGTTGTTTGTTTGAGCCTAAGTTAGCCTCACACTCATACAGTCTTCCTGTCTCAGCCTAGGGATTTATAGGTGTGAGCACAGGGCCTACCTTTCCCTGTAGTTTCAGTTTGCATTCTCTTGGCTTGAATGAAGTGGTCATATTTCCACATGTTTAAAGGCAACTTTCATTCCTTTGTGATTATTCCTGTATTCTCTATTCTGTATGCTTTGGTAACCTCATAATGGGTGCAGTCAGAGATCTAATGCCTTTCCTCATTTGGCACTATATTTCATGTAGTTGGTGTGACCTAATGTCAGTTGTTTTTACTTAGTGATAGAGAGAGTACCTTGTTGTTGACAAAGAGGAATGCAAACAGACTTAGTTTCTGAACTCCCATGGCGTTCATTTTTTTCCTGGTACTAATTCCTGTATTGGTTAGGAACTAAACTGCTAGTGATGCTGTGGAATTACCCAGGAAAGGTAACCACACTTAGAAAACCTTACAGGTAAAGAATCCTCTTCAATTCTATTTCTAAATGAGATCTTTGAAAATTCTTGAAAAGTGAGAATATAAGCTTCTTGCTTTGAGTGTTTTTCTCTGCAAAACCATTTCTTTCTATCTGATGTTCCCTGAGTTGTGTGTGGTGGTTGTTGTGTTGGCTGCTTTTTCTTTGACTCTGGACTGTTGGGAGTTATCTGCTTGTGCTGGATGATGATAGAGAGACTGTTTGTCAGTGGTTTTTATAGGACTTGTATGGGGGCAATGCTTACCAACTTCCTCTCACACAGAGGACATCACATTCCTCCATGGTCGGCTTTGTTTTCTACTGGTCAGCATCATGGTGAAGTCCTACAACCATTAAGTGCTTTTCTGACATTTAGATTTTGTTGTGATTTTTTTCAATGTAAAAATCAGATATTTTATTTTTCTAGAAGACTCTAACAAGACATGTGACAGCAGTAACACTAGTGCTACCACTACCTCCATCCAGCCTAATCTGGAGAGCAGTAGCAGCAGTGAACTCAGCTCTTCCCAGAGTGACTCTGCTAAGGCAGCTGATGACCCTGGCGCTGGGGAGAGCGACTCCCTCACACCTGTCTCTGCTCAGGAAGAGATAGGTAAGAGCACACTCAGCCACTCAGGGGAGAGGTGTTTTTGTGTTTTTGTTTTTTTTTTCTTTAAACATTTTCAATTTTTTAAATAAAAGTTTAGTGGGTTGGAAAGAATCAGTGTCTCTTGTTTTGCTTTTGGTTTTTTTTTTTCCCCATTAACATGAGCTCACTGTTTTTGCTTTACAAAAAAATCCTACAAGAGGAGAAAAGTAGAAACCTTTTCATTCTCCTGAAGTATAAGCACCATCAGTTTTTTGTATTTTTCATTTCATTCATATCTGTATGCTTACAAATTTTTTTGGTTTTCTTTTTTCTTTTTTTTAATATATTAATTGGATCATTCTGCATGTGTTATTCTGCATCTTGTTTTTTGTGTGTGTATGGGGTTGTTTTTTTTCTTCACTTTCTCACATAGTGACACATGGTAGGGACTCCTCAGGTTAGAGTCAAATGCATTGTTCTTACCTGCTGCGTGGTGTTTGGCCGTCACCATGGTGGTGCTTTCTACCCGTCTCCACACGTGTCTCTGTGTTCTGCAAGTGTTTCTGGCAGTGTAGGAAACTGAATGAAATGACTGACTGGTCAAATGGTAGGTACCCTTTACAGATAATAGAGGCTCCTGCTTAGTTCATCACCCAGAAGGACAAACCTACTAATTTCCATACTTGTATGTTTCCCTATTTGCACACCTAAATTTAACACCATTTATCTTTTTTGACAGTGGTAAGAATGTATTTAATGGAAAATAATTACTTATTTCCGCTTATGAATGTGGTTGCTTCTTTTCATGTTTTTAATATTCTGTGTTTTGATGATTCCTGTTTTTGCTTGCTTTTTCTATAGAATTTTAATATTTTTCATAAGTTTTAGAATTGCCTTATGTATTATAGTCATTAATATCTGCTTCATATTTGTGCTTATTACTTTCTTGTGCTTAATTTTTATGTTGTTAAATTTCATCTCTTTCTGCAGGTTTTCCCTGTGTGTTGTATTTTTTTTAAAGGAAGATGATCTCATGAAAATAAATATTTACAGTAATTTTTCATAAGTCTGTATCATTGGTTTAAATTTATCTTGAGTATAATTTCAGATATGACATAAGGTTGGAGATGTCTTTTACTTAGGACTTTTCCAATTGTAAATGACCAACTGTAGAGGGAATATAATTAGCTTGTATAATTGGGAAAGTTCATGTTCTCCTGAAGCATAAGTGGACCCAGTGGTACAACCACTGCTCTATCCTCCCCTCCCCCATTTTCAATCAACTTAAATTTGTGTGATAATTTAATTCTCTCCTAATACAGACAGACTTTTTCCAAGTTGCAGGTAAGATGGCACCAGCAATTTGTTCTCATGTCTTTCCAAGGTCTGTGGCCCAAAGCCCCTACTCCTGCTCCAAATCAAAAGTCTTTGAGGAAAGAATTTGAGTGGCTTATCTTGGATCATATTATTCCACACCTGTGGCCAGGGCAGGCAAGGTATTATTGATGGCTCCAACAAAAGTATATGATTGAAATGGGTAGGAATGAATTTTTAAAGAACAAGGGCTGTTTCAAAGATAGGACCACGCAGAGAGCTGTGGTTGCATCTTAGGTCGCTCAGCACAGCGTGGTTACCCGTGTTCATTCCCATCCATCAGTTCACAGTGCCTCTTGCCTCTGTCTGACCCTCACCTGAAAATGTCTAAAAACCTTTGGCCCACAATTGCACCCAGTAGTTGTATATAATTATATCTTAAGCCCCATCTAAGATTTCTCTGTGCTATGCATTGTTTGACAGGCTTGGGTATGTCTTATCTTACATTTATAACCCATATGAAATTCTGAATTTAGCTGTTGTTCACTTTATTGTCCTGACAATAGAGGGCCTATTTGGGTAGATTTGATATGGTGACAATGTATGAGAAGTGAGATGCATGCAAGAGGTTCTTCTGGGGGCCATTCCATTGTGGTAGCCTAGGTTTTGCTAGCTATTATACAGTATGGGTTCTTGGGAATTACTGTTGGCTGAACAATCATACACAGTAACTTGGCAGAGTTGGAGAGTTCCCTGCCCTTACTCCCCATGTCAGTATAACAACATTCCCTTGTAGATTTGTAGGGATTCCCACTCATACCTAGTACTTAGTAACTTGCCTCAGGCTTCTTGGACAGGAGCCCTTCTGCTTCCTCATTATGTTTGGTGAGTCAGTAGTTTTTGCCCTTTGCTTATGCTTGCCAGAGGGGCTGGTTTAGAGCAGATGACTATTTTGCCAACAGGCTGCCTGTAGAGGTTGACTTCTTAATGGCAGCAGTGTGGACTTGGGTAGCCTGTGTTCCATGAGGACCTATCCTCGCCATGTCTTCAGCTGTGATGCTTACAGATGAGGTTGTTCTTCGCTTTATTTTTGCTGAACTAGCAAATGCAGAGGGTTAATTCTGAGCAGCATTGAATTCTAGCTGCGCACTGGGGGGCTTCTTTCAGAAAGCTCTTGCTATTCCTTCTCTTCTTTCAACAAGTGAGGCCTAAAACCAAGAGAGCATCTCTAAAGTCTATTGCAGGATGTAATAAATGGTCATAAGAGTTGAGAGCCTTGGGTTAAATCCCCAGCGCATGGAGAGTCTAACAGAAGATAGCAGTATTCAGGATCACTAGCTCTCCAGCCTGCCCAATTTGCTCAGTGGCATATTTTGTAGACTAAGTCTTAATATACTTGCTGGATTATTTAGTACTAACTCCTATTGGCAGAAATCTACCTCGCTTAAAAACAGAAATGACATTTTATTAGTGGCCTCAAAAGGAGCGTCTAGGGCTGGTGAAAGCCTCGGGTGTACTGTCAGGTTCAGGAAGCTAAGCCAGGTTGTCAGCTTCCTCAACATTTGCTCTTCTCATGTCTGTTCTGGAGTATTGGGGGGCGGGGGTTGCTCCCTGCAAGTAACAGTCTTTCTACCATAGAGGTACAAGTTAGAGCCTCTAATTCATACCCTTCCTGCTTACTAATAGAAAAACCAGAATAGTAAGGTAAGGGTTCTGTCCAGTACATGCAGTTCAGTCCCAGAGAAGAGAAGCCATACTTAAAAGCTCAAAATGGAACAGGGTGACGACTGGCTGGGAAAGCTGCCTAGTGGGATGGTGGGGTCTTCTGTCCAGTTCTCTCTGGGTGCTATAGTTGCTTCCAAAGGCCGGACCTTTGATCCATAACCCTATTGAGCCAACATATCAAACAATCCCCTGAAATGAACAGATAGCCTCCCCATTTGCATCTGTCTCTACTTGCCTAAAATGCCACTATATATGTAATACGAAATTCCCATCCTTGGATTTACCAATGCTACACTGCTTAATTTCTTTTTTAAGCTTTAAATTATAAATTAGGTCTTACTCAATTTTCTGAACAATGGAAAATGTACAATGATGAATGGCTGGGTATGTATGTATGTTCACTATCCAATGTGAAATTTGTGTATATAGAAAGCAGAAATTGTATCTGGGCATTCAGACTGTCACCGTCAAAAATGAAGTTATAAAGGAGATGTTGAGAAATCTTTATTATGTTAAAATAATTGTAATGGGTTTTCACAGATAATTATGTACTCTAGGGAAAAATTCAGTTGGCATTTCTAAAATTCAAGACTATTACTACTTAAGTGGAAAATCTTTCTGAAACTAACTCCAGCCTTTTAATATACAAATGCACATTAGATATACAAGACAACATTTTGTATGTATTCGAGTTATTATGTTTGTTATTTGCACGTTTTTGGAGACCCCTCCTCTCCAGTAAATGAGTTTCAAAATAGGTAAGGTAACACTGTTTTCTGCAAAATAATGAATGGCACACAGTATTTTTGCTTTTTGATGTTTGCTGTTGACAAAAACATTCAAGGATTGATGACATGCTTTGCCTGTGAAAGGACTTATTCTGCTTATTTCTCTTGGACTTTAAATATATATGGCATGTAAGGGTTGGATAAATAAGGCGTTCTTAGTTATTTACTTCCTGTCAGCAATCACTTTGTGGCATTTTCATTTGGTAACAGGGGATTTCAGATTGGAGAAGTCTAACGGAGAAATCGTCGAGTCCCCTGGAGCTGGGAGAGGAACGTCTGGCTCCACTCGCATCATCACCAGATTGCGGAACCCAGACAGCAAACTCAGTCAGCTCAAGAGCCAGCAGGTGGCAGCTGCGGCCCATGAAGCAAACAAATTGTTTAAGGAGGGCAAAGAGGTGTGTTCTGTTTAAAACAAAACTCTGTACTGTGAATAATTAGGATCGTGGACAGGAGAGATGGCTCAGAGGTTAAGAGCACTGGCTGCTCTTCTAATGGTTACATCCCAACTAGTAACTCCAGCTCCAAGGGCTGCATCTGTGGCCTCCAATGGCACCTGCACCAGTATGCCAACACCCACAGTCAGACACACATTAAATATTTAGAATTGGATTACCGTAAAATCTTATTTTAAAAAGAAAAAAGGACAGGAAATTTATAAACCTAGTTTTGAATTGTGTTTTCTTTAATGTAGTGAGTACCAAGAACAAAACTGTAAGTCTTGTATTGTGGCAAAGAAATTTATACACACAAATTTAGTCCATTTATTAGAATTCAGTGAGCAGATGATGTTAGAATCAGCTAATTGAGTACAATTCTGTTAGGTTTTTTTGTTTTGTTTTGTTTTGTTTTTAGAAGATAGTATCTTACTGTGTAGCTCTGACTGACCTGGAATTTGGTATGTAGACCAAGGTGGCCTCAAATTCAGACAGAGTTCTACCTACCTCTACCTTCCCAGTGCTGGGATTAAAGACTTGCACCACCACAACCCCATTTCCTGTGACCACTAGAAGAATGGTTGTCGCTTGTAGCTCTACTAGAGCAGATGATCAGACCTGTCACCACGAGCTCAGCTCGCCTAGCTGCACCCTCAGAATGATGACAGCTGTGTCTCTGATGGTTTCCTGGGGAGTCCAACAGGACTGAATCACTGAGGAGGCTGAAGCAGGGAAGAATACAGCCAGTCTGAGGCAAGCCTGGCCAACTCAGGCCCTGTCTAAACCCCTGACGTCCCCTCCTACGTCAGCGGAGAAAAGTAAACAACAAGTATTGATTTTGATAGTCCACCGAAAGATTGAGCCCAGCTTTGTGGAAACATTATTTTAAAAACCCCAGGGCCTAGAGCAACTAAAGTTGGCATAATGAAAAGAACAGGAGTAGAGGATTGTTGGCCATTTGCGTGGAGAGGATGCGGGGGGGGGGGGGGGATGTGTATAGTGCTCTCCTATTTCGATAAACTATGTGCTAGAGTTTGATAGACTGATAGTGTGTGTCTGAGATTCATGAACATGCTCAGTGGTGTCTAATCACTCCTTTCTTTCTGCAGTTATATCTTCCTTATTTAACTATAAATCACCAACTTTCACCTTTAGTTAGTTTGTTTTTCGAGACAGGGTTTCTCTGTGTGACCCTTTATAGACCAGAAATAGGTGTGTGCACACAAGCCTCCAGGTTAATGAGGGGGTGTCAAAAGACAACTTTGTGAAGTTAATTACCTTGTTCCACGCTTTTGTGGTATCCGTGGCTTAAAATGGGTCACCAGACTTGTGTGACAAGTATCTTTACCAACTGTCCTGTGCCCTGAGACAGTCTTGCTATGTAGCTAGCCCTAGCTAAGGCTTGAATTCATGGTCTTCCCGCCTCGGCCTACTGAACGTTGGCACTACAGGCATAGACACCCAGCCTAGCTCCATCCTCACTTTAGCTTCTTTTCAATTTTTTTAGGTCTCCCCCCCCCTTTTTTTTTACTTTTAAATTTAGTCATAAGTTTACTTTTAAACTCTCAGTCATATCTCATGTTTGGAACAATTGATTACAATTGTTGAAAGACAGTTGGTCAGACAAAATCTGCATCTTTGGCATGAATAATGACATTCTGGTTTTCCTCATCAGGTGCTGGTAGTTAACTCCCAAGGAGAAGTTTCACGGTTGAGCACCAAAAAGGAGGTGGTCATGAAAGGGAATATCAACAATTATTTTAAGCTGGGACAAGAAGGGAAGTATCGTGTCTACCACAATCAGTACTCTACCAATTCCTTTGCTCTGAATAAACACCAACACAGGGAGGACCACGACAAGAGGAGGCACCTTGCACATAAGTTCTGTCTCTCTCCAGCTGGGGAGTTCAAATGGAATGGATCTGTCCACGGGTCCAAAGTCCTTACCATATCTACGTTGAGACTGACCATAACGCAGCTGGAAAGCAACATCCCTTCGTCCTTTCTTCATCCCAATTGGGCTTCACACAGGTAAAGGAAACTAAAGTTCATATATTGCTGTAAATATGCTAATTACCTAAAATTGATCCTTGGATAACTTTAAGTATCAGAAGGAGTCAAATGGAGACCAGAGCTAAAAAATATTGTGCGTCAAGGAATTGAGGGGCCTGGATGATGCCTGGAGTTGCTCCTGTGTATAAAGTCTCCAGTGCTCTGAGCTAAGCCCTCTCGGTGTGCTTGTGTGTGTGCTTCTGCCACATAGAACCTTTCTCGTCTGAGTTGTGGTAGACTGTGACTATTGTGTTTTTCAGTTAAGACCAATGGAGTGAAATGCTTTCTTTCTTCTGAAATGCAGGGCTAACTGGATCAAGGCCGTTCAGATGTGTAGCAAACCCAGAGAGTTTGCGTTGGCTCTTGCAATTTTGGAGTGTGCCGTTAAACCTGTTGTGATGCTGCCAATATGGCGGGAGTCTTTAGGACACACAAGGTGAGTGAACTCTGAGTTTTGGGATTGATGAGTAGTGGATATTTCTGAAATGCTAGATCATTAATAATTATGGAATAGCCCAAGAGGTCACAGTAAAGACTATCTCTTCCCAGTCTCCATTAATTCCCAGGATGCAAGACCGTGATGAAGATGAAACGAGATCAAATATATTTTTTTATTAAATTTTTATCTTTTATGTGTATATATGTGTGTGGACTTGTGCATGCCATGGGTATGAATAGATGGAGAGAAGTGTATCCCTGACAGGTGACTCTGCCCCTTGAGCCAACTTGCCAGTTCAACATACATATTAAAAGATATTACAAGTGAAAAGCATTTTTGACAAGATGAAAGAGTGTGTGTCTGTATCCGGTGTCTGCTTGCTTACATGTATGTTTGTTCATCATGTTTATTTCTGGTGTCTGCAGAGACCAGAAGAAGGTATTAGAACACCCTGAAGCTGGATTTACAGACTCTTGTTAGCTGAGTGGGTTCTGAAAGCCAAACCAGAGTCTTTCCAAGAGCAGCCTTGTATTAACTGCTGCCATCTCTAACCCTAAGAAGTCACATTTACGCATTTATCCTAAAATGTCTGACCAAAGATCATATAGCTACCAGGTAGACTCAGCTGTGTACTTGAGCAAGCACTAGAAGTAAGAATGAGAGCATTTGCTGCCCTTCCACAGGATCGGGTTCACTTCCCAACACACACACACCTGTAAGTAGGGATAAGATATTTGGGAAATAGACACATCATGAAGGCTCTCTGACCAGCCAGTCTAGCTGAAACAGTGGTTCATTGAGAGGCCCTGTGGTTAATAGATATATTAATAAGGTGTTAGATGTCCACCTCTGGCCTCCAGCTGCATGTACATTCCCAAGCACACCTGTGTCCGCAGAAGCAAACACACTTTAGAAAATAAGAATAAAAAATGTAAAAATTATTCTGAGGACCAAACTATACACACAAGACTTTAATTTTAATCCTAGAATTGTAAGCTAAATAAACAAACGTGTGTGTATGTTTGTGTAGCTATGTCAGATGTGGTTGTATATTCCCTTAATTCTAGCACTGAGGCTAAGGTAAGAGAATCTCAAGTTGCGGGATCCCGTCTAAACAAAAAGATAAAACTACAAGAATCATGGTTGCAAACGTGTTATACTTTTTAACACTTTAAAGCACCAAGAGTCAGTCTGTCTGCCCTCCTACTGGGTCACTTGAGTGGTGTAACCCCCTAACTTTTTACAATGGAAATGTATTTTCCAGTCCTTTAAGCATGTTTTATTTTATAATGGTGTGGTGGCTCACATCTGTACTGGTAGCACTTGGGGAAGTGTAGGCCACAGGGTCTGAGGTACAGAACAAGACTGTCCCCAAACCAAACAATTTAAGCCAAATGTCATGGAGCACTTGGGAGGCGAAGGCAGGTAGATCTCTGAGTTCGAGGACAGCCAGGGCTACACAGAGAAACCCTGCCTTGGAACTCTACCCCCGACACATACCAAAAAAAAAAAAAAAAAAGCAAAAACATAAAAACAAAACAAGAAGAATAAATTTCTTGGTGATATCAGGTTTTGTCCTGTCACTATGAAATTTCATTCACGTGTGGTTGAATTTTTGGGGGTAGAATTTGGTAAGATAATTAAGATTTATTTAGAAATAATATTAGTAAAACTGAATTAAAAGGACAAGCTGAGCCGGTTGTGGTGGCGCACGCCGGTAGGATTTGCTGAAGGAGGCAGAGGCAGGAGGATCATGAGTTTGAGGCCAGCCTGGGCTACCCATAAAAATAAATAAATAAATAAATAATAATAAAAAAAACAAGGATAAGCTGAGCTGGGCATAATGGTACTCACCCTCAATCTCTATGCTTGTGAGGTGGAGGTAGACAGAGTTCTGTGAATTTGAGGCTATCCTGATCTACACAGCAAGGTCCAAGCCAATTGGTAAGACCCTGTGGGGCTTGGGGATCATGGCTCAGGGGAGAAGACCAGAAAAGTCTCCATGCTGAAATGTAAGTTGTCATCACTGCTGTGGTCCTGCTGTGTCTAGAAGACACTGTTTGGGTCTGGTCCTCCCCAGCCTCTGGTACTTAGGATCTTTCTTCCGTACTCTTCTTCCCCTGAGCCTAAGGGGAAGTGATGTGACAGAGATGTTGTACTGTGAGTGAGCAATCCACAGACCCTTGTTCTCTCTCTGATGTGGTCAGCTGTGAGTGTCAACTGCACAAAGCTACTTGTCTGGTGAGGTTTGAGAGCTCAGCCTTCTGGCCTACACACACAGTTGTGTACACCACACACAAGTGAACACAATACTCGGTTAACATCTAGGTGCAGTGAGTACCTCTGCTCAAGGCTCCTGCCAAGCCCGAGGACCTACGTTTAAGATCCTAGCACGGGGAAGTAACAAGCCAGGCATGTGGTGTATGCTTTCAGTCTCAGCGCTTGGCACATGGAGGCAGGTGGACCGGGAATACAGAGCAGTCTTAGCCCAGAACTTGATGCCATTGTGGGATATCTTAGATCCTATCTCAGGAAACAAACATCAAAACCCCCGAAGAGATAGATGATTTGGGGGTTCAGAGAACTGGTTGCTCTTCCAGAAGACCTGAGTTTAGTTCCTAGCACTCAGGTGGTGATTAACAACTATCTGTAACTCCAGTACCAGGGATCTGGTGTGGTCTTCTGGCCCCTCTGAGTCCCTACAGACATGAGGTGCAAATAACTCATTCAGGCTCTCACATCTACACATTAGATAAGTAATAAAATAAATATAATAAATATAAATATAATAATACTCACATCGTTAATTTCGTTTTTTACATAGCAGAGGGTGGAGAATTAAGATTGAGGCCAGCCTGAGCTAAATAACATACATGAACCTTCTTTCAAAGTATAACAAAATATTGGAAGCTGTCAGAGCACTTTGTGGTCAGAATCAGCAGGATGGTACATTCAGGGATTTCTCAAATAAGCCCTAAGACACTTGGAAGCTCTGCTGTGGACACTGCATATCATTGAGCAAAGAGGACATGTTTCAGGGAAGAGGCCTCAAATTGATCAAGGTTAAAAAACAAAACTAGGGACTGGAGAGGTGGCTTAGCAGGTAAGAGCGCTGACTGCTCTTCCAGAGGACCTGAGTTCAATTCCCAGCACCCACATGGCAACTCACAACTGTCTCACGCAGACATATATGCAGGCAAAATATCAATACAAATACAATACAAATAAAAAAAACCCACAGCGCTAATTAGAAGAAAGACAAAACATGAATTAAGTTATATTATTGTTCTGATACTTTTCTTTTTAAACAGATTTAAAACAAAGGTGCAATGGAGGAGGGAATTGAACACATATATTTAAAATTCTACATGGAAAACCATTGTAATTAAACTCAAAAGAGAGATGACAAATTGAGGGAAAATATCTGCACCACAAATGGAAAATGTTCTCAATTGACACAGACCTTCTATAAAGGAAAAGGACTAGCAGTCCAGTACAAGTGAGACACAGGACCTGAACAGGCATCGTGCAGGAAATACGTGTGGAGGGCTAGTAAACACAGAGCAGTGACTTCTGCCATAGTTGGAAATCAGTGGGATGGGATTGTTTGCCACCCAGGTTGTAAGTGTGATACTCAGCTCAAATGTATGGGGCAGCAGTTGGGTTTGTGACTGACAGGCCCAGGTGTGCCTGTGCTTGCTTCTTTTTGTCAGCATTTCAAGTACAGGAACTTGTAGTCTCTGCCATCCCATCACTGAGGAGGACTATGGAGGGCTACTCCCCATGTTCAGCATGAAGGACACACAATGTTTTATATGGTATCTCTGCAGTAATACCACAGCACAGAGTCCTGGGCACTGCCTGGAGATTAGGGGTGGAGCTGACTGTTCATTCTTATGGTCTGGCTCTCAGGTGACTATGGAGAAAGGAAAATTGCCACCCTCTTCACCACCACCACCCCCGCCCAGTAGTGTGGATTGACAACGGGAGCTGCATGGTCCTATCCTGATGGGGCTCTTTGAAGTCACCAGGTCATCAGTAGTGTCCAGGGCTTTCTGTCTCACAGACAGGATTGAACCAATTGAACTCTTTGTGTTGTTGCCTTTCCCCATAAAGACTTTGGTGGTGGTGGCCCAAGCAATAGAACTTCACCCAGGGTCAGCACACATCACAATGAACTACACCAAAGCAAAGTGAAGCCTTTGTATCTGTTTGCTTGTGGACAGAAACCAAGAGCCCAAGGGTGCCTGTCAGCAGCATGATCTGCGCTGTCGTTGTCTGAACTGGAGCTAGTCCCTCAGGAATACACATGGAAGCTGTGGAAACTGATGATGGTGGCCCTGGTTCTATCCCTGAGGCTGTACCTTGCTGTGGCTATAGCCCCTGTTTTACTCCCTGGTTCTGAGACAGGGAACAGGCGTCCCCTTCTACTCTGCTCAGCAGTTGTCACGCTAGCGGGCAGTATCTGATGCTGCTGCGTGTTGAGACCTCAGGACAGAGGGAGAAGATGGGGAGGGAGAGTGCTTGCTTCCTCGCTTGTTCCTTTGAGACCGCACCTCAGTGGACATCCCCACCTGCTATAACCACAGACTCCCATGTGCTGAGATGACAAGCTTTTGCTACCAAGACTGAATTTAATTAATTTTTAAAAATTGTGTTGTGCCACTAGGTGGTGGTGGCATCAACTTTAGTCCCAGCACTCAGGAGGCAGAGGCAAGTGGATCTCTGTGAGTTCGAGGCCAGCCTGGTTACATAGCTAGTTTGAGGACAGCCAAGGATACACAGTGAAACCCTGTCTCAAAAAATCAAAAATAATAAAATAAAATGTGTTGTGATATGGGTAGAATGCTTGCCTAGCACACTGAAGACCCGCGCTTTAATCCCCACACTACAAGGATAAAGGTGTTTGTGTTTGCTGGTTAGAAGTCCTAGGCTGAGTTGTTCATGTGGTGTTAGTTCTATTTAGAGTGGATTCTACATGGGTATTCGAATGTTGGCTTATACAAGAATAAAACATTAGTGTTTCTTTGGGGAGGTGTTTAGAAGGCCTATTCCTCTTTATGGCTAGTTTTCTGTTCTGATCTCTCCTTAGGGAATGCCACATCTACTTATTTTTGTCTGTTGGGAATGTCTGGGGTGTAGGGTTCTAACTAAGCACTCTCTGGTTTTCTTCCTAATTTTCAGTATAACATTCATATGTTTTTCCTTTTTCAAAATTAATTTTTTTTAATCTGTGTATTCTTAGGTTACATAGGATGACATCAATTGAAAGGGAAGAAAAGGAGAAAGTTAAAAAAAAGGAGAAAAAACAGGAGGAGGAGGAGACGATGCAGCAGGCCACGTGGGTAAAATACACGTTTCCAGTGAAGCACCAGGTAACTGGGCCTGTGGCCTGCAGTGCGCGCCTTTGCAGTCACTCTGCTTTCCTTTGTAACTGTTGAATTAATGAGGTGGTATGAACACATCTTGTAATTTTGTAAGCTTGATTTTTCTCTTAGAATTTGATACCAATTTGTTGAAATTAGTAATAAAAGTAAAAGCATTGTTAAATTTAATAGCAGTGTTAACAATCTGTCATAAATCTTGAGATTCCAACTGAAAATTGATTATTTGGCAAATTTAATTAATTTTGCCTGATTCTTTAATTATTATACTTTTATCTATTTATGTGAGTGTGAGAGTGCATGCACAGACAGAGGTTACAGGATAATTGGCAGGAGTTGGTTCTCCTGTTTTCGCCCTGTGTAACCTTGCCCACTCTGCCATATCTATGGCTCAGTTTGCCTGATTCTTGGCCCGTGTTTGGCAGATGCTTCTTTAACCATTGGGTTTTCAATTCTACCAGGTTTGGAAACAAAAAGGAGAGGAATACAGAGTGACAGGGTATGGAGGCTGGAGCTGGATTAGTAAAACACATGTTTATAGGTTCCTTCCCAAATTACCAGGCAACACCAATGTGAACTACAGGAAGCCCTTTGAAGGAGGTGAGTAGTGGACTGTTTCAGTAGCTATAGCTAATAGGAGATCTTCACTGTTTCCCTGCTGCTGGTTGTCTTTTGTTTGTAGGACCACTTCTAACCAGAAGTATTTCTTAGAAGTTCATAGTTTACTGGCTTTATTTCAGATAAATGTATCCTTATGAAAATTTTAATAGCATGTGGGCAATACTGTTGGGATTTACTAATTTACAAGTTCTAAAGTTTTCTTATGTAAGATTATTTATATTTTATGTTTATGAGTGTTTTACCCTCATGTATCTCTGTGCAGCACATGTTCATGCCTGTTGCCCACAGAACCCACAAAGAGGACATTCAGTTCTCTGGACTTGGAGTTAAGAGATGACTTTTGGCCACCATGTGGGTGCTGGGAACTGAACCTAGGTCCTGCACAAACCACAAGTGCTGTTGACAGCAGAGCCCTCTCCAGCCCCGTAAACTAAAGGTTTTTAAATTACCTTTATTTATAAGGTTTTAGTTACAGAAAAACAAGAGAAAGTAATTTTTAAAAATAGTCATGTAATTATTATATTCAAAATAGGAATTTTTTTTTTTTTTGGATCTACCTACCCCAAGACTTTATAATCAATACTAGTTGACATTTTCAGTACTATGACACACATAAACCTAGAAGGGAAGTGAATAGGGACGCCATGACAGGCACCAGTATTCTGAGTTATAGAGCTCAAGAAAATGTCTCCCTTCTGTTTATGTCGTATGTAGTACTTCATTTGGTTTGGTTTTTGTTTGTTTTGTTTATTTATTTATTTATTTATTTGGTTTTTTTTTTTGAGACAAGGTTTCTCCGGAACTAGCTCTTGTAGACCAGGCTGGCCTCGAACTCCCAGAGATCCGCCTACCTCTGCCTCCCAAGTGCTGAAATTAAAGGTATGTGCCATCATTGCCCTGCTGGTCTTGTTTTTTTAATTAGAAATAATGAAATATACTTATTGCATAGTACTTGGTGGTTTTTATCTAAACTAGATATATTCAGTTCTTAGATTAGGAGACCGTAGGTTAAGAGAGTTTATAGATAACCAGAGTTTGGTTCCTAGCTTAATAGCCCCGTGCTATTAAGGGATTTTGATTTCTTCTTCTCACCCCTGAGGGTATCTGTACACAGATTTACATAAAGACACACACACACACACACACACACACACACAAGAATAAAAATAAGCTGGGCTGTGGTGGCACACACCTTTAATCCCAGTAGATCTCTGTGAGTTTGAGGCCAGCCTGGTCTACAGAATAAGTTCCAGGACAGCCAGAGCTGCACACCTGTCTCAAAAAACAAAAACAAAATAAAAATAAAGTTCTAATATTACAACTGTCTGTTGCCGTACATGTAATTCTTTTTAGCCAAAAATAATACAGACGATAATAAGGATGAATCAGATAGAAGAAAAAGTCCACGAAGTCCAAAAAAAATTAAGACAGAATGTGATTCTGGGAAAGATGAGGCAAAAGATGCTGAAGCTGCAGCAGCAGCAGACGACAGTGCAATGGAGCTCTCCAAGGTGTCCGAGAAGAAGGACCACGGTAAGCAGGGGCCAGGATGGTGGGTGGGGCCAGGGCGAAGAGAATGCCCTGAATCAGGTCCCACGGGCAAGATACTGCACCCTCTCATAAGAGTGTAATTGACCGTGCCATCTGTAAATGCTGTAGATGTTCACAGACTTGTTCAGCATCTATGACAGTTCCACAGCATTTCATCATGCCAAAGGAAGTCGCTTTCTGATCCCAACCCATCAGTCTATTCTTGGTTGAGCTGTCTGTTTTAGACATTTTTAAAATGAAGTTAGGCAGTCTGTTGGTCTCCTTTAATCTGACACAATGTTTCCAAGGTTCATCCACATTGTAGCATATTCCAAAGAACACTCCACTGTATTGCTAGGCTGCAGTTCATCTGTGCAGTCATTGATCAGTGAATAATTGGCTGTTTCTGGTTTCCAGCTGTTATAAACACTGACACTTTAAGTTTTAGGATTTGTTCCTTGTTTGTTTGAGAAAGAAACTCACTGTGTAACTCTGATTGGCCTGGAACTCACTATGTAGAGCAGGCTGGTCTGGAACATACAGAGAATCCACCTACTTCTGCCTCCTGAATGCTTGGGATTAAAGGTGTCACCGTAACCAGCTAATTAATGTTTAGTTGGGTTTTGTTTGTTTGTTTGTTTCATTTTGTTTTGTGGGTCCCAGAGATCGAACTCAGGACCTCACGCATGCTTGACAACAAAGCCTTTACCCAGTGAGCCACCTCGCCAGCTTTATATACAAGTATTTCTGTAAATACAGGTTTTCACTTCTTAGTGGTGTACCAAGGAGTGGAATTGCTAGATTGTATGGGGGCTCCATATTTAAGCTTTTGTGAAAGTTTAGGACCAGTGAGATACATGAATAAAACCATTGGGAGATGGCACCCTGGGAAATGTGCTTAGAACTTAAGCATGAGGACTAGGAGCTCGTATTCCAAAGTCCGTTTACCTGCCACTGGGGCACTGGTGGCCTGCCAGAAATGCCAGCACTGCCATCCAGAGTCTTGCTAACTAGACCAGCTGTATTGGTGAGCTCTGGGTTCAAAGAATAAAATGGAGACATATTGAAAAAGAATCCAGAGGTCAGCCTTGGGCCTCCTATACATAAATGTAAATGCATGCGCACGCACATATGCGCACACACACTCACTATATATGTATACATAGAGAGAAACCTAAGCAAACATACATGCATGAACCAAAAACATAGGCTAAGCATAGTGGTTCGCACCTATAATCCTAGTGCTTGGGAGACTGGGGCAGAAGATTGACTTGAGTCTGAGGCTATTTGGGGTTACAGAGTGAGACACGAAACAGTTTCTGGCTTGACTGCTTATGACTCCTTGATCACATGTTGTTTCTCTACACATCCAAAGAAATCTGACTTTTTTTGCTCAAATCAAACACTAATTTTGAACTGTTTATAAGTAATAGAACTGGAGGAGATTTTTAACTAATGAAAAGAAACAAAAACAAGTCATCTATAATTCTAGCACTTCGGAAGCTGGGGATAAAGAGTCATTGCAAACCCAGCCTAGTAGATACAGTGAGTTCCAGGACCCCCCCTACGTGAAAATAACTAATTAGTTAATTGATGAGAAATGAGAATTAAATAATTCATTAATGCAAAAAGAAAAACAGAAGAAACAAATAGAACTTTTAAACCCATAGATGCCTGATAGCACATTTGCCAAAAGTGGTTTAGATTAGTTTGCTGTATGGCCTAGGATATCCTCAAAACTCATGCTACTCCTGCCTCTGCCTCCCCCAGTGCTGAGTGACGAACCTCCATCCAGCTTAGCACAGGTGATGACCATGCTGTAGGTATAATGCACACACTCAGTAGCCTGTCATAGGCGAAGTCATTTTCCCAGTATAAAATCCCATCAACTTAGGTACCAAAAATCAGAATCATCCAGTATTTGAAATGTTAGGTATTTTTTAGCCCCATTTAAAGTTTAGCAATGTCCATGACCTACCTCTACATATGAAAATAACAATAGTAGATACTTCTGAAAATGAGAATTTCTCATGAGGAAAATAACTTCATAGTGAAAATTACGTTTTTATCTATGTCTTTTAATTCGCAGATGTAAAAGAAGCTTTGGAGTCTGATAACGACAAATCCTTCAAGGAAGAACCAATGGAGATAGATGATATTGTGAAAACAGAGTCCCATGTAAACTGTCAGGAGACTACTCAAGTGGATGTGGTCAATGTCAGTGAGGGGTTCCATCTAAGGACTAGTTACAAAAAGAAAACAAAATCCTCAAAACTGGATGGGCTCCTGGAAAGGCGTATTCGACAGTTCACACTGGAAGAGAAGCAGCGCCTTGAAAAGTTGAAGCTGGAGAGTGGGGTGAAGGGAGTAGGCAAGCCCCCCATAAGTGCTCTGCAAAGCCCCTCTGAATCCGCAGTAACTGCGAAGGCCAACGAAGGCTGTCAGAGTGACTTGCTTAGACAGGAACAGAGCCCCAGTCCAAGCCAGGCTAGCCCTGGGGACTCAGGGCAGGGGTGCTCACCAAGTGATTCTACAGTTCTTGGCCTCAGTGATACTAGTCTGAGTACAAACCAACTCTATCAGAAAGATCAAGTGTCAGATGGTGTCTCTGTTCAGAGTTCAGGGCCAAACTGTCACAGACAGAGCTCTGTTGAAAGTGACCTTGATGCCAGGGTCTCAGAGCCCACCAGTAAGGGACTGGAACTAAGTCAGACTAAAACAAAAGGAAGTGACTTTTTCATTGATGACTCTAAACCAGCCAGTGCAGATGACGTTGGTACCTTGATCTCTAAGAGCAAAAAGTCACTCCCACAGGAAGATAGCATTATTGTGCCTTCTTCCAAGAGTACTTTACCTGTATCAGTACCTAAAAGTACCGGTGACAGAGATGCCCGGTCCTTCTCAAAAGGAGTGGACTTTGATGGGAAACCACTTTGTGACTCTGAATATAATAGCACTTTGGAAAATAGTTCTGATACTATGTCTATTCAGGATAGCAGTGAAGAAGGCATGATTGTTCAGAATAGCAATGAATGTATCTCTGAGCAGTTCACAACAAAAGACCAAGGCATGGAGAGTGTGGAGCCGTCAAAATATGAGTTAGTTCCTAAATCTGCTGAAAATTGTGAAGATAAACTACAGGGTAAGGTAACTGAAGCAAATGGTAAAAAAATAGGGCAGCACCAGAAGCTGGACGAGAGATCAGTTAACAAATGTGTTGGCCAAGTAAGCCTAAAACATATCACCGACAAAAAGAATAATGAAAATCGAGATTCTGAAAAGAAAGGACACAAGGCAAATAAATTCCAGGTAAATGGCAAAGATAGTAAAGTTAAGGGGTTCCTGAAAGGGCAGTGTGCGAAGGACAGCTCTGAAGGGAAAGCTGTGAATGTTACTGTTGAACCAAAGGTCAATAATGTCAATAAAGTGATCCCTGGAAATATCAAGTCACTGGCTGTTAAAGAATTTGCTGTGAAGCCCTTTGTTAATGGTGACATCAGCATGGAAGATTTCAATGAACAAAACAGTTCAGAAACCAACTCACATTTACTGAGTCCTTCAGATGCCAAAGGTAATCACCAAGACAGCCTACACACCCTACCGACCACCAAAGAGTCAGACAGTACCCAGGTAACCATACCTCCAGCCCCTTGCCCAGAAAGTAGCTCATGTAATCAGGAGGAAGATATGGAAACGGAGAGTTCAGAGGTTAAGAAGGTTACCCCATCTCCTGTTGCTTCTAACCTTAGTAATGACTTCATGGATGAAAATGGTCTACCTTCCAGCAAGGACAGGAATGTCAATGGAGAATCCAAAAGGAAAACAGTCATCACAGAGGTCACCACGATGACATCCACAGTTGCCACAGAATCGAAAACTGTCATCAAGGTAGCAAAGGGGGACAAGCAAACTGTGGTTTCTTCCACAGAAAATTGTGCCAGATCCACTGTCACAACTACCACTACCACTGTGACAAAGCTCTCCACACCCTGCCCAGACAGTGATATTGACACCTTCTCTGTAAAGGAGCAGAGCAGAACCGTGGTCACCACGACAGTGACGGACTCCCAGACCACTGCAGGAAACACGCTGGTAACATCCATGACAGTGAGCAAAGAATACTCCACCAGAGACAAGGTGAGACTGATGAAGTTCTCCAGACCCAAGAAGACCCGCTCCGGAACAGCCCTGCCGTCCTACAGGAAGTTTGTTACCAAGAGCAGCAAAAAGAGCATTTTCGTGTTGCCTAATGATGACTTGAAAAAGCTGGCCAGGAGAGGCGGGATCCGGGAAGTCCCTTACTTTAATTATAATGCAAAACCTGCCTTGGACATATGGCCATATCCTTCTCCTAGACCAACCTTTGGCATCACGTGGAGGTATGTACTTTATATGTTATTTGGGGGAGGGGGGCTAAAGAAGTTTTTTAAAATCTCATTTTTAAGTAAAAATGAGCTCCTAGAAGAGAGGGAAGCATATGTGTAATGGCCAGGGTTAGTGATGGAAATGAGATACAGAAAGCTTCTAACTCTGCCCAGCGGGTGGTACTAACCTTTACCCAGCAGCTGCGGATTTACCGAAAATGTAAGGGATTCTTTTAGTATGCATGTCCATTTTTACTTCCATGAGATGAGAACTCACCAAGCTTGTTTTTATGGTCTGACTTTCAAGTCACTGCATGTTGTTTCCTCTGCACCACAGCAACCCCAGAACTGGATGTTCATTTCCTGGGTCTCATAAAAACATGCCTGTAATTTCTTAAAGCCCATCATATCAGACCTTCCTAGTGAAATTTATTTGCATGATAACCATGTTTTGGAATTCTCTGTTATTTATGTAAGAAAAGATAGGCTGTAATTTCCTAGGAAATGTCTTAAAATACAGAAATAGTCTTATTCAGAATGCTCTGGGTCCTTGTGATTGGGAACAAGCCTCAGTTTATAATATTGACAGTTGTTAATCCATATTCATCTTTCACTGGGAAGGGGGCTTAGAAGTTCTCCTATGGACATGAGTAATTTGCCTTTGACCACAGAGGCCAGGTTAAGCACAGTACCTGCTTTTCCTGACCCCAGCCAGCACTTCATGTGCTGTTTGTGTTCCACATGCTTGTCCAGGCTCTGTCCCTTTCCATGTCTCTGTCTCTGTCTTTTCCCCCTTTTTGAGAAGGATGAGGGGTGAACATAAGCATTAAGAATGGCAAGCTTGGAAAGCAGCGTGATCTAGGCTACAGTTAGTGTTAGTGGTCATTCCAGCTGGTTACTGAGCAGGGCATCATCTCTCTTAAGACTTCATTTCAGCGTGTCTTAAGTATTTCCAGATTCAGTTACCATCATTCTTCTTTATATTGGAATCAGCTAGCTAGTGTCAGAAAAGAACACAAAACCGGTGTAAATGCAAATTCTCCCTATAGGAATTCATTGACTCTGGTGACCACTCCTTGTTTGTACGAGCACGTTTTTATGCCTCATCGTTGATTTGAAGTAAGATGTCATCACTCCATGGCACATGCGCTAGAGACAGCTGAAAAGTGCACTTTCTCTGCAGGGCCTGCAATGAAGGATTTGCAGAATCCTGCAGGGAATCAAGGAACTCTTCATTGCAGTTCATGGAGTTGTAGGATTGCTCTGTACTTTTCTGCTTTCTTCATTGAGAGCGGTCCCAAAGTGCACCCTTGACTGTCCTGCAGGTAACTTCTTTCCCACTGGAAAAGTTACTACACACCAGTAGTTGGACTCAGATGCCCCGCAGGTGGGAGCTGTTCTTTCTGCTCCAGTGTTCTGAAGTACAACATAGTTTTGCTGGGAAGCACTGTCCTCTGAGCCTGGAAAGAACCAGGCCCCAATCCTAACCCTTGGGTGGGTGCCTGCAGTGCAGGGGCCTTGACTTAGAGGATTTTGTTATGTGCTGGCATGTATCATATCTGTTGGTCACTCTCATTTTTTAATGGAAAGAAATACCTTACTGTACATACTTAATCTGTTGAAGTTGAAATTAATAACTATCACTTCTGACTAATGGAAGCATGGGTAAAAATATGTGTTATTTTGATTGAGAAAACTTTTTTAAAAATACTACAAAAACTATGTAAAGTGCATTTTTATACTAACCTTTGAGTCTCGTGTGTTTACTGCTTAGTAGAAGAATTCCAAGAGCTGATGGGATTCTCACTCTATTTATTTGTTTATTCACATTTGTTTGTTGGGGGTGGTTCTTATGGGTCTAGCTATGCAGCCCAGGCCGGTCTCAAACTCCTGTCCTCCCACCTCAGCTTCATAGGTAGTTAAGACTACATGTAGGCCCAGCTGTATGTGTGATACATATTTTTAAATGTAATGTTAAAGCCGAGCACTTTAGGAAAATTGACACTTGTCTCATGGGTGCAGTAAAACCTTTTTGACCTCTGTACATACATTTCCTTTTACCTGTTTTCCCTGGCAAGACTCTGTGTCACTGTCATTTCAAACTGGCAGTTGTTCCCCATAATGCTCTTAGAGGGGTCCTGCTCTCTACCTGGGCTATTCTGAGTGATTGGTGGACTGCTCTCTCCTGCAGGGAAGGGAGGGGAAGCCTGTGTGTCTAGTTTAAGTGCTTTCCTTTAAGCCTTCTCTCTGGCACAGCTCATTCTGACTTCTGCTTTCTTCTCCATGCAAGCTCCATCGCCATTTGCACCCACCCCTCTAGCCATAACTGCGCAGGATGTAGTGTCCGAGAAGTGTGTGCTTTTTACACTTTGTTCCTTCTCGTGTGTGCCCCCGTGACCTAAGGACTTGCTTCTCTTACAGCTCTTCCAGGTAGATTCTAATAGACTTCTCTGTAACTCAGCTTTGTTCAGTCCTGGCCCTTTGGCAGCACTCCATTGTTTGAATGCATGAGTGAGTGAGACAGCAAGCTGATAATCCATGGGGCTTTGGTAGAGTACAAGACCTTGGGTTCTGTCATCAGAACAGTGGAGGTGCTTGAGGCAAGACAGGCAGAGTGAGGATTTGAAGTTATTATTTGACCCTAGAGAACAAGCAAAGGAGAAAGAGAATAAGAAATGCTTGTTTTCCTGACATACCAAACTGGCACAAGACTTTCCATGGGACGTACCTGAAGTGACAGGCACCTTGTTCCTCCCAGAATATCTCTGCACTAGTCAGCATCTTAAAGGCTCTTTTCTGGGTCGAGGATTCCTGGGATGTTAACCTGAAGAGAATATGTCACAGGTGGAGACAGAAATTGGCAGAGGTGCAGTAACAATTGCCTAGAGCTTTACCTTCTGACGTTGTTCATTTCTCCCACGATAGTAACAGAAAAAGCATTGCTTTTCCAGTGCAAAATTGTCCTCTTAAGATAAACCATTTGCCTGTTCATGAAGGAAATAATTTCCACTGTATAGATTTCCTCTGTACTGCATTCAGCCAGATATTCACTTCGTGTAGTGTGGAAATGTCCAAAGGGGAATCTAATTATGCCAGTTGTAATAGGGAATTGACAGTCACTGACTGCTTTTATGTGAATTACAGTTAATTTCATTTTAGGATTAAAATCTTCATTGAAATTGAGTAAATTCGTTTTCACATGTGTCTTTAGTGTTATTTTTAAAAAGAAAGGCATATTTAGTAAATTTATACTCATGCTCGTGGAAAAACATGAGCCTGGATTCCTTCTCTTCGTCAGAGTAGCTGATGCAGGACTGTGTGTTTCTGGAAATGGCTTTCTTCATAGGAATCCAAACTCACCGCATTGTTAGTATTTATAGTGTGTGTAATGCTCATTTTCAAGAGCCATCGTGGACTACAAAATTCTCTTCAGTTCAAAAAGGTCTTCTTGCACTAATAGTGTTTTAGTTTTGTTTTACTCTTTGATAAAATATAAGCATTTTCAGATTTTTTTTGTTTCAGCAAAAACTATTTTATCTTGGTTTTATCTTCAAAATTCCTCTATCATATTTAGTAACATGGTTATTGATTATAGTTTTTCATACATATATTTTAGTTGATTCATATAAAAATCTTTAAATTATTGTCTTACTGATCTTAAGATAAAACCTTACCTATTTATATGGCATTAGAAATGAATCTAGATGATTTAAATGTTATCCTAGGAACTCCAAGCTATTCCTTTAAAGAACATGTAATGCCACAGTCTTCCAGAGCCATGTTGTAGACACTGAGGTTACAGTGAGCACCACAAACATGTCCTTCAGTTTCCTTGAGAGGAAGAGAGTGTGTGAGTGTGTGTTTGTATGTTTATATGTAGTTGATCTGGGTTGTTCTTTCAGGTATAGACTTCAGACGGTAAAATCCCTAGCGGGAGTGAGCCTGATGTTACGGTTACTATGGGCCAGTTTGAGATGGGATGACATGGCAGCCAAAGCTCCTCCAGGAGGAGGGACTACACGGACAGGTAAGGGAGTTGGACTTTAAGTTTAAAAGATACAGGCTAAGGATATAGTTTAGCTGCTAGAGTACATATCTTGTGCACTAACGTGTGGACCCATGTTAGGTCCCTAGCACTGCATAACCTGGCTGTGGTGGTATGCTTGTAGCCTTACCACTGAGGAGCTAAAAGAGAGAGGATCAAAAGTTCTAGGTAATCTTCACCTCTGACTACATGGGGCCGTGTAGCAGAAGAGGTAGCCAGACTTGGCAGCACAGGCTCCTAATGTCAGCTACTTAGGAGGCTGAGGCAAGAGGGCCTAATTAATGACTTGCTTGGATTACTTAGCTCAAGGCCAGCTAGAGCAACTGTCTCAAACAAAACAAACCAAGAAACTAAAAATGGCTCTGTGGCTATAACACTCACCTAGCATGTACAAGGCTCTGAGCTCGACCCCTAGCAGTGCACAAAAATCAAATCAAATCATGTGCCATTTACTAAATTTATTAAATGCTTGTTTTATTTTGTAGAATTTAACCTTGCTCAAGTTTTCTGAGTGCCATAAAGTCAAGGTTAAGGAGCAAGGTTCACATTCTAGGTGAGTCAGCACACATAGACCCGTGTAAATGTTCAAATGATAGTTATTCTTCCAGAGCATGAGTCAGTTGACTTGAGATTCCTGGATCTTCTAACACAGCTCTGACTGGGTGCTGCCTCTGGGAGTTAACTTGGACCTTATGTCATTTTTTTTCCTTCCTGTCACTCATGCTGAGGTGGAAGGATTGCCACATGTTTGATGCCAGCCTGGGCTTATGTATCAAGTTTTATACCAACTTGGGCTATAGAGGGAACCCTTGCAGTGTATCAGAAGGAAAGGGATGATCTGCCTGAGCAGCACAAAACCTGCTGCAGAAACAACCAGCAGCGCCACAGCCTCTTTGGGAAGAAGCTCACTATTGTCATGCAGTGTTGCTGTGCTATTCATGACCCAGGTGTTCTGAAAGGACATGTCAGATCCACAGCTTTAAAGAAGTACCGAGTGCTACATGTTCTCAGTTTCTTCATATTTCAGATGATTGTTAACAGTGTGTAAATCATGTTCCCATAGAAACATCTGAAACGGAAATCACAACCACAGAGATAATTAAGAGGCGTGATGTGGGTCCTTATGGCATTCGTTCTGAGTATTGTATCAGGAAGATCATTTGCCCGATTGGAGTTCCAGAAGCACCAAAAGGTAAGAAATAGATCATCACTGGCCTGTTGGCTGTGTGTTCTGTTAATTGAGATTTGCTAGTAATTGTCTCTTTAATTGCTTACCTTACACCACAAACTACGCCTGTGTTAAGAGACATAAGACTACCTGCACCAAAGGCAGATCTCTGTGAGCTTGAGGCCAGCCTGGTCTACAAGAGCGAGTTCCAGGACAGACTCCAAAGCTACAGATGAAACCCTGTCCCGAAAAAAATCTAAATTAATAAATAAATAAGACTACCTGCCAAGACAGGAGATCGTTGTGAGTCCCAGGCCATCAGAGTGGGATCCCATTTCAAAAAACAAACAGACTGCAGGCTGGAGAGATGGCTCAGTAAAGAGTGCTTACCTCTCTTGCCAGGGCTGCAGGTTCAGTTCCCAGCCCCTACATGTTGGCTCACAACTTCAGTTTAGGGGGCTTCAAGGCCCTCATCTGAATTCCATGAACTTCTGCAAATAAATTCATGCAGGCTCACACACATGCATATAAGTAAAACTAAATCTTTTTTTTTTTTTTTAAATATCCTTAGTGTTAAAACTAATGCACCAGCACTCGGGAGGCAGAGGCAGGCAGATCTCTAGCATTTTGAGGCTAACCTGGTCTACCAAGCAGGTTCCAGGACAGCCAGGGCTGTTTTTAATTTATTTATTCTTATTTTATGTACATTGGTGTTTTGCCTGCATGTATGTCTATGTGAGGGTATCGGATCCCCTGGAACTGGAGTTAACAGACACTTGTGAGCTGCCATGTGGGTGCTGGGGATTGAACCCAGGTCCTCTGGAAGAGCAGCCAGTGCTCTTAACAACTGAGCCATCTCTCCAGTCCCCAGCCAGGAATGTTAAACAGAGAAACCCTGTCTCGAAAACTGAAATAGTAAAACGAACAAAACAAAAAAAAACTAATACAAACTACTCAAGATAATCATAAGAGACATGCACATATGCATAAATAAGAAAATATTAAGTATGGGAAGAGAAAATGTCTTTTTCACAAACACTTTTTGAAAATTATTCTCCCTAAATGTATACCATGTATACCTTTACTGATACTAACTCACAGTTCATTTTAGTGAATAATGATAGGGGATAACCCCCACTTGAAAGAATACTGATAAGGTCATTTCTGTCCTGGGGAAGAGTAGGATACTATCACAGTGACCAACCACTGCTATCCAGGCACACAATCGGTAGGCAGAGCACAGATCTACTCCTGGCAGACATCTGTTTATTCCAGCATCTCCTGAGCCAGAGTCCAGAGAAACTGGAGAGAAGGTGTGGAGTTGGCGACTACTAAACACACAGCAGATTTATCTAAGGGGGCAAAACTTGATTAGCAAGGTGTTAAGCGAGCCGAGAAGATTTCGGGCAGTTTCTGCACTGGTAGGAGCTGTTGGCAGCTTCAGTGTAGCAGATTCCTGTCCTCTCCGCTCTACGAAGCCTCAACCAAGCGGGCTATCTATATAGCTAGCCATCTGTTTTTCTTTTTTCTGTGCATACAATAGGGTCATTTAATTTCCTTCCACAACTTTGTTTTTTCAAGGTGCACACCAAAACCTGTGATTAATTCTGATCAAGGAACTCGGACCTAACCTTGGGTGTTGGGACATAGCTGTTTTCCTTGTCATTTTCCATCCTTGGCAAATCTCACTCACATCTCTAAGTAGCATTGCTCTGTAAAAATCATCTTCATTATGATCTGCAAGTAAATTCCCCAGTGAGGAGGGGGATTTTCCCACTCTATACTAGATACAGTGGGATTCTTTCACTTAGTAATCACACCTTGCCAAGTACAGTAGGAACACATAGCAGCAAGCAGGTGAAGGCACAGTGGAAGTAAGGAGACAGTTCCCCTGGGTCTTTGCCCCTCTGGGGTGTTACAGGTGAGATGGACTCCCTAAGCCCCACTGCTGAATGCGGAAGCTCCATTGCTGACTGCAGCTCCTCCAGTATGGTCACCACCACTGTCTCACATTGCTCCCTGTAGTCCAGGTTCTACTGCCCTCTGCTCCCTGGTATCTAACTGTTGCTCTGGGCCCTGGACAAGGCCCCTTCCTCTTTATTGTACAGTGTTTTAAATCTTACTGAGAGATTTTTATATGTTCTTCATCCTTTTGGCTCCCTTTTTATATTGGGCAAATGTAACCTATCTCCTCAGTGCGGGGGTGGGGGTGGGGGAGTATTGCAGCTCAGCTGTGAAGGACTCCAGCTTTGGTTTAGTCTTTCAAACCAGCAAAGGTGACCCACAGTCTGTGTGCAGTGGCACAGACTCAACACTCAGGGGTCTGAGGCAGAAAGATAGTTTGGCTTATGTTCCATAGTGAGTTCTGTGCCATGCAGCAGCTTACATGGAAGAAGAGGGAACAAACACGCACAGCACAGCAGGGAAGTCCCTTCCTTTGTGGTTATTGGCCTTGCTTCCTGGTGAGCCAATCAAAGATACACTCAGCTGCTGTGTACCTGTGGGGTGCCATACTCTTCTCCAGGACGCCCCTTGCTCTTTTTCATTGACAAATTTTAACAAGCTGACCCCTTGTTTCAGAGTCTCACCAGGCCAAGGAGCAGCAGTCTCAAGTGAGCCCTAGAGTGGGTATTGTCAAGAAGTTGTCCTTCTCGCCCCTTCCCCAACGTCACAGCTCTTAGCTTTCCTCCTAGAAATGCTAAATCCTTGAAAGAGATTGTATTGGTTTTGGAGTCTCAACAATGAATTGCTCTTAGGCACATCTGGAGAAGGGATGAGGAATAGAGTCCTAGGCAGAGGAAAGGGGTATAAAGGCCCACAAGCCCTTTATCAGGGTTGGCAAGCCATTTCCCATGAGCCTTGATGACTGCCTGCTTTACAAATAATTGGAACACAGCAGCATGTAACTTTGACATTGTTTGTTTTTCCACTGATTCTTTTTCAACATGTTGTGCATTGGTGTTTGCCTGCATGTGTAGAGTCTAGATGAAGGTTTCGGATCCCCTGGAACTGGAGTTACAGCTGGTTGTGAACTGTTGCCGTGTGGGTCCTAGGATTCAGCCTGGGTCCTCTGTGTGAGAGCAGCCAGTGCTCCTAACCCCTGAGCCATCTCTTCAGCCTCCAGATATTGTTTGTTTGTTTGAATTATTTATGTATGTGGGTGTCTTGCCTGCAGGTGTGCCTGTATACCATGTGTGTGCCTCGTGTCTTGGAGATGTGAAAAGAGCATTGGATCCCCTTAGACTGAGGTTAAGCACAATTGTGAGCTGCCATGTAGATATTGAGGACTGAACTCAGGTCCTTTGGAATAGCAAGCAGTGGTTTTAACCACTAAGCCATCTCTCCTGCCACAGGCACTTTGGTCCAGAATTGCAATGTAGACCGTTGGTCTCAGGGGTTTGCAGGAAAAGTTTGGCTGGTGGTGGCATCCTGGGCTAGGTAGCAGACCCTGTCTCAAACTACAAAATGTAGTTTGCCACTGCCGTGCTCCTTGAGATGAGATGTCAGAACTCCATTCAAACAGTCTTGCTGAAAACATTCTGGTTTCTTTCTCCAAGAAACACCCACACCTCAGCGGAAAGGCCTTCGGTCAAGTGCACTGCGGCCAAAGAGACCTGAAATGCCCAAGCAGACGGGTCCTGTTATCATTGAAACCTGGGTGGCAGAAGAGGAGTTGGAACTCTGGGAGATCAGGGCTTTTGCTGAGAGGTAATCGGCTAACGCCTGGTCATACTGGTGCTTCTGTCACTTCAGAGCTAGAGAATTTTCAGGTCAGCTGTCACTGTAGTCCATTCAGATTAGCTTTTATCTACCTTTTGATGTTGTGTACTATCTCTAAGTAGTTTATTTAAGTCTTATTTCTAAATTTTAGTGTGTTAGTATTATTCTTTTTAAAATATCTTAAATGTTCATTTAAAACAGAAATAGTCCATGCTTTTGTATGATGCCAAAGTCAACCAGATTTCATTTATTAAACGGTTTCTGATGAGTTGCTCCTTTTCCCCCCTACAGAGTGGAGAAAGAAAAGGCCCAAGCGGTGGAGCAGCAGGCTAAGGTCAGTGGACAGCAGACAGGGATCACTGCCCAAAGGGGCCTCCCCGGCCAGCAGGGCCCCGAAGTACAGCAGATTGACCTTTTCAGCCAAACTCAGGCAAATCGTGTACCTGGCTGCAGTGTGTTAAATTCTCCTTCTGGTTATTTTTACAATTCTTTAAGTAGTTTATAAAAAGATTTTTTTTTTTTCTGCTGAACTCCAGTGCAGCCTGTGAAGACGTCAACTTTACTAAGGCCCCGAGTTTATGGTAATCTGTACGCGCAGTCTTGTTTTCTGGCATCCCACAGAGTGATCAGGATTCTTACCTGAGAATCAAGGGAAGGGCACCTAGAGGACAGAGGTGAAACAGTGTGTTTACTCAAAGTTATGCCAACATAGCTACACATTTATATTAGCTTTATGTGTGTGAGTGTTTTGCCTGCATGTATGTCTGTGCACCACATGCATGTGTGGAGTCTGTGATATTCAGCATCGGGTCCCCTGGAGCTGGAGTTAATAGATGACTGTGAGCCATTATGCAGGTGTTGGGAATGAGCCTTGATCCTGTAACAGCAGCCATCTCTCCAGCCCCAGTTGCACATATCTTAAAAACTTACTTTTTAGGTTTCAAGCCATTCTTTTTTCATATTTTATAAAGCACATATTTCAATATTTTGTTTCTTTCAAATTGCTGTCTCTTTCTCTAAACTTAAAATTTGAGAAAATAGTATTTTTGGGTCATGTGCTCAGTTCTGCCGTGGAAATTTAAAGAAAATCACAAGCATCTCTGTTACTATAGCAACTGGCTAGTTCTGCTCTTTGTTTTGTTTTGGTTTTTTCGAGACAGGGTTTCTCTTTGTAGTCCTGGAACTTGCTCTATAAACTAGGCTGACCTCGAACTCAGGGATCCACCTGCCTCTGCCTCCCTAGTACTAGTATTAAAGGTGTCTATCACCACTGCTGCCAAGCTGCTGTTGCCTTTATAGGTATCTTTTGTCATCTCTGCCATACAACCTTAAGTGGTACTTCTTCGTTTGTTTTAGAGTAGCACTTTAGGTTTTTAATACATTTTCTCCCAAGGAAATACTCTTAATTATGTGCCTGTTTCTTTGCTCTGTTTTTCTTTTAACTAATTTGATCAAATGACATCTCTAAGTATGCAAAACTAAAGTGCTTCTATTTTGAAAAATGGGCATTGGTATAAAACACTTCAACTTTTTTTCAAGCATATGATCTGTCTGCAAAAACAATTCAAACAGAATGGGTATGATCATAGAGCAGAGGTGAAGCCTGGGATTTGGGCTCAATAGACTTTGAAACTCTCACTGTATGAGACTCAGGCTTTCCCAGATCTCAATGTGTGACTCAAGATGGCCTCAAACTCACAGTAGTCCTCCTGCCTCTGTCTCCCATGCACTGCAATTACAGGCATGAACCACAATGTCCACTTCTTGTTTGTGGTTTTGAGACAGTGTTGCTCTGTATGTCGAGCATCCTCAAATTCAAGACAAGCCTTACCATTGCATGGATCTTAATGGGCTTAATCACAGCCCATTTGTGCGTCCTAGGGCCAGTTGCCCAGCCGGTCTGAGCCTCAGTTCCCTCATGTTGAGTGTTGCAGTGCCCGCTTTATGATTTGGTGAGAAGTATTGCTAAATGAGGTGCCCGCATCCAATCAGTCCTACCTAACATTTCCCTCTTGGAAGACTCTGCTATTGCTCATTAGACCCCACCATTGGTTAACTATGGATAAATTCCACCAGTCTTTCATTAAAAACATACAAGTTGTCCTTTCCACCTATTTTGCTTGGATTTTTTGTTTTGTTTGAGACAGGGTCTCTCTGTGTACTCCTGGCTGACCTGGAACTTTGTGTATAGAGGCAGCTGACATTGAACTCACAGAGAATGGCCTCTCTCTGCCTCAGAGCGTTGGGATTAAATGCATGCATCACCACACCCAGCCTGATTTTTTAGAGTGGACCCTGCTCTGTAACCTAGGCTGGTCTTGAATTTGAAAATTCTCCCGAGAGTTGGAATTACAAATATGCTTCCCACACACAGTACTGTGTTTTTTTATTTTATTTTCATTTTTAGCAGTACTGAATAATGAACCCAGAGCCTCATGCATGCTAGACAAGCACTCTAACAACTGAGCTCTATCCCCAGGAACTCTGGTGTCTGATGATGAGATTCTTCCCTTCTCTAGCATTTAAAGTTCCTTTTAATTATTTGGTACATGAATTAGTCCCAGTACATAGGAAGTTGAAGCAGGAGGATTGCTTCAAGTTCAAGATCACAGTGAGCTATATAGTTCTTTGCAGGCCAATTTGGGCTACAGAATGGACTGTCTATGAATAAACAATAACAAAGTCTCAAAACTATTTATAATTCCCATTTATCTTGATCACAGTTTGCTGACCTGAATAGTAAGGGTAAAAATTACTGCTCTTTTGGATTGGTTAAGTTATGCTTCTGCCATGAAACAGGCCCACCCCCTTTCTTCTGCTCTGACTCTGATATGGTGTTAATGTCTCCAGTAAGATTTTTCCCACATTTCTTCTCACTCTGAAAGCTAAATTAGACAGGCATGCTTTCTTTTTGATAGTTTAAGATCAAGAAATCCTGCAAAATGGGGTTTGTCGTATAAAACTGAGTTCACATTTCCTCTCCTTGACTCAGAAACGTTTGGAGCAGCAGAAGCCTGCAGTCATTGCTGCGTCTACCACATCCCCAACAAACAGCACAAGCAGCACCGTCTCTCCAGCTCAGAAGGTGATGGTGGCTCCCTTAAGTGGCTCAGTTACCCCTGGAACAAAGATGGTGCTAGCCACCAAAGTTGGGTCTCCTGCCACAGTAACATTCCAGCAAAACAAGAACTTCCACCAAACCTTTGCCACATGGGTGAAGCAAGGCCAGTCCAATTCAGGTAGGGCTGGGATGAATGAAGCATCGCTGTCATCGTGGGGGAGAGGAGGGTATCTCTAACCTTCATTTCTTGAGAGCATTGCTCCACTGCTTGCGCAGGCAGGCTGTGCAGCTGTTGTCGTAGTTGCTCTTTGTGGAGTTCCTCTCTGCGGTCCTCGCCTTCACTGTCCACATAGTGCACTTGGAGCAGAGAGGAGTGATTTTATTAAATACAGATGAGCCGCATTTCATGCATCGGTGCCCTTCCTAGAAGTCACTGCACTGCTGGTTCTTTAAAATCTAAAGCTTATTAAATGTCTTATACCCCATTAGCCACCAGCACAGCTGCCACCTCTGCTACAACCATTGCCAGCACAGGTCAGACGTTCCAAATTACAGGCAATCCCGTCACTATGGCAGGAAAAGTAATTACCAAACTGCCACTTCCTGCAAACAGCAAGATTGTCGCTGTAAATGTGCCAGCAACACAAGGAGGTAAGGGAACCTCACAGAGTTTGAGTTCACCTTCGCCAGATCATGCTGTCGCCATCACTCCATCTCCTCCTCACTGGTTTCAGTCGTCAGGTCTCACATTCTGTGTAGCCCACTCTGCAACCCACCACACGTAGTTTCCTCAGATGCCAAGCAGAACCTCATACCTTTCCTCGAAGGGTAGCGCCTCATGTCTTCTTCATTTCTCTTTAAGGCGTGGTCCAGGTACAGCAGAAAGTCCTGGGTATCATTCCATCGACAACGGGTCCTAGTCAGCAGACCTTTACTTCATTCCAGCCCAGGACTGCCACAGTAACAATTAGGCCTAATACCTCAGCCTCTGCAGGAACCACTACCACATCCCAGGTAAGTGTTCCTCAAGGGTTTCTCTGTGGAAGAGTGTTGAACACATCAGGGTAACATTCCTGTGGTCTCTTTCAGCATCAGTACAATTTGTCTTTCTTTACTATGATTTAATCTGTGATGAAGTACCAGTTTGGAAAAATACATATTTGTGGTTTTTTTGTTTTGTTTTCTCCCTCAAGACAGGGTTTCTCTCTGTAGCCTTGGCTGTCCTGGAACTTCTTCTGTAGACCAGACTGACTTCAAACTCAGAGACCTACCTGCCTCTGTCTCCTGGATGTTGGATTTAAAGGTGTGCCACTACCGCTTGGCAGTTTTTTTATATTGGTCATAAACAAAAATGTTATGTGATGTATTAACTTTGGCATTTGGTTAGTTGCATACTGACTGGTATTGTTCAAAGATAATAATTATTTGCCAAGATTTTCTAGAGAGAATTGTGTATGACTTGATGAATAGCAGTGGAACAGGCTTTACTTCCTAACCCTCTCTTGAAGCCCCTCCCTTTTGCAAGAGTTCTCTCACCTTTGCTTTAATTCACCTATATTCTTTCTGGTCAAAAAAGAACAGATTGGGGGCTCAGTAGTTAAAAGCACTGACTGCTCTTCCAGAGGACCCTGGTTTGATTCCTAGCACCCAAATGCCAGCTCACAACTGTAACTCCAGTTCTAAGGGATCCAACAACCTCACACAAATAAACATGTGAGCAAAACACCAATGCACATAAAATAAATGAATCTTAGAAAGAAAGAAAGAAAGAAAGAAAGAAAGAAAGAGAGCCGGGCAGTGGTGGCGCATGCCTTTAATCCCAGCACTTGGGAGGCAGAGGCAGGCAGATTTCTTTGAGTTCGAGACCAGCCTGGTCTACAGAGCTAGTTCCAGGACAGGCTTCAAAGCTACAGAGAAACCTTGTCTCGAAAAACAAAACAAACAAAAAAAGAGTGGATTGACATAAACTGTATATTGACATATACCGTATCTCAGCTATTAGGTACACATATGAGGTACAGCATTTCTTTGGCTCTAGTATGGAAAAAAAAACTTAAAGTCAGAATGTTCTGGCTTTAGTTATAAAACTGAAGTTATATGGTCATTAATGTCATGTTTTAAACTGTGAAAGGATATTGGATTTTTGTTGATTTATTATATTCTCCAGGTTTCTTGAGCAGTAGTGACAAAGCTGAGCCTTTCTTCCGCCTCTTAGTCTCCCAGCAATTTTTGTCATCAATGGCAACAAATTCATACTACATTTGAATTAAAGTTTCTATCTTCAAAATTCCACCTTTATACCAACACTGACTACAATTTCAAATGTAATAGTGGGGAGGCAAAGGTCTACATAGTGAGTTTCAGGGCAGCCAGGGCTACGTAGCAGAACCGTGTGTGTGTGTGTGTGTGTGTGTGTGTGTGTGTGTGTGTGTATATGTGTGTATATATACGTGGATGTGTGTGTGTGTGTGTGTATAAATATATATAAAAGTGCTATTCTCTACCATCTCTGTAGAATGTTTAAGGAACTTGAATTCTAAGTCCAATGTGTTTTAGTCATTTTGAAGCAGTTTTATCTCTCTTTTTGTTTTGATTTTGTTTTTTGAGACAGTTTCTCTGTGTAGCCCTGTGTAACTCATTCACTCTGTAGACCAGAGATCCCTCTGCCTCTGCCTAGGGTGCTGTGGTTAAAGGTGTGCTCCATCACACCTGCTCTCGCAATTTTAATGCATTGTCTCTGTTTGTCCACAGGTACTCACGGGGCCTCAGATCCGTCCTGGTATGACGGTGATTAGAACACCCCTCCAACAATCAACACTAGGCAAGGCAATTATTCGAACCCCTGTGATGGTGCAGCCAGGTATTCATACATGTAGCATTACTGTTTTAGTATGTGGACAACACATCTAGGAAATTGTAACACTCCTCTCTGTTTGGCCCTCTCTACCAATTTGCATTAGTGCTTAAGTGCACATTAGCTTTCTTTTTTTTTTTTTTTTTTTTTTTTTTTGGTTTTTCGAGACAGGGTTTCTCTGTGGTTTTGGAGCCTGTCCTGGAACTAGCTCTTGTAGACCAGGCTGGTCTCGAACTCACAGAGATCCGCCTGCCTCTGCCTCCCGAGTGCTGGGATTAAAGGCGTGCGCCACCACCGCCCGGCCCACATTAGCTTTCTAATCCATGGTGGGTTATAAACAGAGATGCTGTTCATTCTGTCTCCTTTTCAGCTTCACTTACAAAGTGAGTAAGGCAGACCTCTAACAGGTATAAAAGATAGCATTCAGACCGTTACAGTCGAGAGAACAACGGTTTTTGTACATGGAAAATGCAAAGGCAGTGTCAGACCTTGAATCAATCACAAATTGCTGTAAGCAGAAACAGCTATGATATTGAGGTGAAGACTGTGACCTAGCCCTGCCGTTTGATGGTAGAGCTTTTGCTTTTTGTGCCCTGGCATGTGTGGGGTGGGGAGTGGAGATAGAAAATTCAGTGAAAATCCAAAAAGAGGGCCTATAGAGATGACTTTGGTTAAGGACATGTGGCTTGAATGTGTGGTTTGATGATATTTAAAAGAGAACATATATTTATTAAATTATCTCAGTGATCCTCATGTTACTGACCAGAACCAGTCTGTTTTTAGATTTACTTACTTCATTTTACATGTATGAGTGTTTTCATTGAGTATATACCTGTGCACTATGCTCATGGCTGGTGTCTGGAGATGGAGTTATAGGCAGTTATGAGCTGCCGTGTAGATTCTAGAAATTAAACTGGGGTCCTCGACAAGAACAAGTTCTCTTAACCACTGACATCTCTCCAGTCCCCAGAAGCGGTCTCTTCTGTGTTTCTGTAGTAGTTTAACAATCCCATATTTTAAATGGTAACTTTCTGCGTATTGTTTCTGATCTGTAGTGCACAAGACATAGTCTTGGGTCAGGTCCCTGAAGCTCTCATATCACAGTTTAAGTCTGTGGCTCATCTTGAGAGAATGGATGAGAATAACTCAGAAGTTTAGGAGGAGGAGCAATAGTGAACATCATCTCATAAGGCCACCAGACTTATGTACATTATTCCCAAGAAAGCACCCAGATAGATGCAGCCCAAAAGCTGAGAATTTACTTCATGACCAAGAAAATGCCTTTGGTTTTGTTTTCGAGACTGGTTTTCTCTGTGTATCCCTGGCTGTCCTAGAACTCACTATGTAGGCCAGGCTGACCTAGAACTCACGGATATTCGTCTGCCTCCCAAGTGCTGGGGTTAAAGCTGGCCTGTACTGTTGTTTCTTCACTCTATTGAAGTTAGTAGGACTCTTTGGCAGTGGTCCTGTGTTTGTACTCATCTTGGGTTATGGGCAACCAAATGTCTATTTGAAGATTGAAATTAACTGCATTCATCTGAAGTGTCAGACTGTTTTAATTCCAAGTATAATACGAGCATGTGATCAGTGAGGGTATCTTGTTCGCGCAGGTGCTCCCCAACAAGTGGTGACTCAAATCATCCGAGGACAGCCTGTTTCCACTGCCATTTCTGCTCCAAGTACAGCTTCTTCCGCACCTGGGCAAAAAGGCCTAAGTCCAGGAACAGCAGCTGGTACTCTGCAGCCCTCAGCTCCGCCACCACCTCGCCCCCAGCAAGGGCAAGTGAAGCTCACCATGGCTCAGCTCACTCAGTTAACGCAGGGCCACGTAAGTGACTTTGCTTTCATTTGAGAGCTGAAGTTTACATTTGATCTTAGGTCAGTTTTGAAGTATATATCCTTCTAGAAATGGCTGCTTGGGGCAGGGAAGGTGACTCAGAGGTTAGATAGAGCACGGGCTGCCCTTGCAGAGTGCCCAGGTTAGTTCCCAGCCCCACAACTACCTAAAACTGTAGTTTCAGGGGGATCTGATGCCTCTTCTGACCTCCATGAATACACCAGGCAAGCACACAGAAAACAGATGTACATTCAGGCAAATGCTCATACATATAAGTAAAAACCTTTTAAAATGACACAGAGAAGAAATGGCTGCCTCCTGGAGTCAAACAAGAATACTTACTATTGGCAACATAATGTTCCGCTCTTTAGAGTCCCTCAGTTAGGACCTGTAACAATGAAAGGGATAAGCCTTTCAATTTCCAAAACTTCATTGGGTAATTTTCATAGAAAAAAAAATGCAAAATTTGGGTGCATGAAATTGATAGCCTGCAACATCCGATATCGTTGTCTAGTCTTCTATCAAATTCCCAAAAGCCCACTGTAGTTGGCTATTTTTTACTCTTTGAAGGCCCACCATCCAGCTCACAAATACATACATGGAGATTTATTGTGACTTATGAATGCCCAGCCTTAGCTTGGCTTGTTTCTAGCCATCTTTTCTAGCTTGAATTATCCTGTTTCTCTTTAACTGCATTTGCCTCTAGGCTTTTTATCTTTCTTATTTATTTATTTTTCTTTCCTTCTTACTCCCTGACTGACTGAGTGACTGGGCCCTAGCATCCTCCTCTCCTTTTCTCCTTGCTGCTTGTTTGCTCACTCCTTGCTCTTCTCTGGAGTTCTCGCATTCTCTCTGCCTGGCAGCCCGCCTCTTTCTCTCCTACCTCGCTATTGGCCATTTAGCTCTTTATTACACCAATCAGGTGTTTTGGACAGGCAAAATAACACAGCTTTACAGTGTTAAACAAATGTAACATAAAAGAATGCAACACATCTTTGCATCATTAAACAAGTATTCCACAGAATAAACAAATGTAACACATCTTCAACTCGTATGGTATGTATCCCCCCCCACCCAGTCTTACAATGGCATAGGGAGAGATTAATAAGAACATTGATGCTATTGAAGAGCAGGAATTTGCTTGTGTGCAACTAGATTTCAAAACTCTAGGTTTAGTGCTTGCTGCACAAGCATGGGAACCTGGGGTCAGTCCCCATCACCTACCCCCCCCCCCCAAAAAAAAAAGCCAGCTGTGAGGATTGGAGAGCTGGCTTAGCAGCAAAGAATGCATCTGCCCAAGTTCAGTTTCTAGCCTCCATGTCAGTTACAACTTCCTGTGACTCCATCTTCATGGTATCTGATGCCTTCTTCTGGACTCTGGGGGATACATACAGACACAATTTAAAACAAATTTAAGAGCAACTGTGGTGGCGACATTTGTAGCTCGAGATCTAGGAGGACACAAGTGAGTCTTTGGAAGCCACTGGCCAGCCAGTACAGCAGACACGCGGAGTGCCTTGTTCAGTGTCTCTCGTCTTTTAAACGAGACTCAAGAGACTAAAGAAATGGCAGCATCCACATGGTGGATCAGAACCCCCTCCTCCAGGGGATCCAACGCCCTCTTGTGCCCGTGTACACATCCTCCAGCAAGCTCGTAAACATAAGGAAGATAGCCGGTGTCATCCTCTGACCTCCATGTGCATGCACAAGGGAGCACATAGACCATGCTACACGTGTGCTTAAAACAGCAGAGACTGGAGATAGACCGTGGTTGGTGGAGTGCTTGTGGAGCATCACAAAGCCCTGGGCGGATCTGTTTCATTGCATAAATCGGGAATGCTGGCATGCACCCATAATGTTCACACTTGGGAAGGAGAAACAGGAGGATCATCCTTGACAACCTAGCAAGTTCTGGGCTGTGTCTGGCCCTTTCCCAAGAAAGACAAAACAAACAGAACAGCAAAAGCTTCCTGCAGTGCGTCACTAATATGCAGCGTGGCCCTCCTTGAGGTTGGGTACTTGCGGTACATCAATGGTAGCCTTACAAACTGCTGAGGAAAGACAAGCTTTTCAATCAGTGGTGCTGGCCTGATTGACCCCACACAGGAGACCATGAGGGTGGACCAGTGCCATGTGCCTCATTTAAAACATGCTCAGTTCACTGAAACAAAAGTCGTAACTAAGAGGTGAAAAGTTATCTTCGTACAATATTCTTTTCTTTTCTTTTCTTTTGTTGTCTTAAGACAGTGTTTTATATATCCTGAGATAGAGCTGTGAAATTGAGGAATTAGAGGTGTTTGCCAACACCTAGTTTATGAGGTGCTGTGGATTGCACCTAAGGCTTTGCACGTCTCAGCAAAGTCTCTGCTAATCAGGATGTCCTTCCCACCCGTCCATTTGCACACTCCTTTCCTTTCTTTCTCTCTCCAAACCTGCCTGAAATTCACAGTCTTTCAGCCTATACCTGCCATATTCTGGGATTACAAAGATACTACCCTATCTTTGTAAGTACTTAACACTTTTTCTTTTTGTCTCTTGAGACAAGGGTATCTGTATAGCCCTGACTGTCCTGGAACTTGCTGTATAAACCAGGCTATTCTCGAATTCATAGAGATCTGCTTGCCTCTATCTCCCAGGGCATGTGCCACTACTTCCAACTACCTTCTTTTTTCTTAACCTTTCCTTCTTTTTCCCTCCCTTCCTTCTTCTGCCGGGATCAAACCAAAAGTCTCGCACATTTTAAGCAAGCACTCCCAGCTGGGCTTCCCAAGCCCTATAACTCTGTTTAAAATACACAGAAAGTGCTAACCAAGCTCTCAAGAAGCTTGTGAGTTCCAGAATGGTTTGGACCACAAAGGGAGACATTGTTGCAAGAACCATAAATTAATTAATTAACTAATTAAAGTAATTTATAAATTGAATTTTGGAAAAAATAAAAACTCAAGAGCTAGGGATATGTAGCTTAGTTGGTACAAGCCTTACCTGATGCACACAGCCACTGGGTTCAGTTGTTAGGACAACAGAAGCAAAGTCCTAGCTGCACCATAGTGCTGCTGCTTGGACTGGAGCAGGATTACTGTTCATCTAAAGCCTGACTAAGCTACAGGCAACTTCGTGAGAGTTCAGAATAAAGGAGGGCTTGAGTGTGTGTCATGGGGGTTTGAGCACATCCCAGCTCACACTGTCTCGAGTTGAATGTTTACAGAGAAGTAAAGGAAGGTAGAACTGAGCTCGCCTATCAGGCGCACTACAAGGAGTATGGGCAAAATGAGAAACCGCAGAAATATACTCAACTACCCAGAGTGTGCAGAGAATTGGTCAAGGACTGGGAAGAGGCTTAGTCCCTAAGAAAGCTCTTGGTCCACTAGCCTGATGACTTGTCGGGACTCTCAGAACCCATACCAAAGCCACACAGTAGTGCAAAGACCGTCTCCAGAAGTTCACTGGCCAGCTAGCATCTACAGCAGCCAACAGGAGACCCTCTTTTTAAAAAGGTAGACACATACATGAAATATATACACACATGCACATACAGGAAGAATTTTAACCTGAACATAATGGTTCTTATGCTACCCAACCATAGGAAGTAGTAAGTTTTTTCCTGAGTTTCTGGCAGAGTGGGGTATTTTTGAGATAGTCTCACTTTGTAGCCCAGGGTGGCCTCAGACTCACAATTGTAGGGATCAATACCTGCTCAGTGCCTCGTTTTACTAATTAATTAAATGGGATCTGGAGCTGGTGTGTTGCTTGTGGGTTAATGGCTAGCTACCCATTGGAGAGTTTGGACTAGAACTCTGAGGTGCTGACGTCGCTGTTCCACACAGATTCCCTTTTTTTAACTTACCTCAGTTTCCCTGGTCCCATTGCAGGGGAGGATCTTCATAACATAAAGGATTGCATTAAAACCCTTTACGTATTCATGATTTGAATGCTGTATATTCCATGTTGTCTGCTTTTTCCACAGGGCGGCAACCAAGGTTTAACAGTAGTAATTCAAGGACAGGGTCAAACCACTGGACAGTTGCAGTTGATACCTCAAGGGATGACCGTCCTTCCTGGGCCAGGGCAGCAGCTCATGCAAGCTGCAATGCCCAATGGTACCGTTCAGCGATTTCTCTTCACCCCACTGTCTACAACAGCCTCGACCGCCACAGCCACCACCAGCAGCAGCAGCAGCACCACCACCACCACCACTTCTACAGCAGCAGGTAGAAACACTGTTGCCGCTTGTCACTCTGCTATGGAGTAGCAGGGCCCAGTACTCTCCTCCAGTCTGCTTAACAACTTAACTGCTGATACAGCCAGCTTTGGTGCTTCCATGCCTTGTTCCTAGACTCCCTGTACCCTTCCCCATTAAAGTGAAACAAAATCATAGAAAGGAGGGGTGGAACAATGGATACTGTGGCCCTTGTACCTACTTTCCTTCTCCAGCCCTGGAGATGGGTTAGGGAGAGCGAGTCTGCCCAGCACTTGACCAGCCTCCTACAAGTTGTCAGTGTCTGTTGCCAGGCCATAGCAGAAGAGCAAAGCTTGACAGAGTCTGCCTCAGAATGCCTAGATGACGTGCAGAGGGCATGCAGGAAATACCTCACTCTCCAGCCCAGGAGATGCCTAATCTGAGCGCACCTGAATGGAAGGCTCACCTCTTCTCTACTGGAGCTTCAGGGTCCCTTCAGAGTCTTCTCACCGCACACTTCCGTCCTAGAGTCAGGGAAATCACTCTGTCTTTTTGTTTTTGTTTTTTTTTAACAGGTTCAGGGGAACAAAAACAGAGTAAATTGTCGCCCCAGCCCCAGGTGCAACCAGCCACAACCATGGCGCCAGCTCAGTCATCAAGTGTGAGTCCTGCAGAAGCCCAGCCACAGACTCCTCAGCCTGCAGCACAGCCCCAGCCCCAGCCACAGTCCCCAGCTCAGCCTGAAGTCCAGACCCAGCCAGCTATCTCGTCCCATGTCCCTTCTGAAGCACAGCCCTCCCAGGCACAGCCATCTAAACCCCAGGAACAGTGTCAGCCTCAGAACAGTGTTCAAGGACAGTCTCCTGTTCGTGTCCAGAGCCCACCATTGACTCGAATACGCCCATCAACTCCATCCCAAGTGACTCCTGGACAGCAACCCCAAGTTCAGACTACAACCTCACAGCCGATTCCAATCCTGCCGCCCACATCTCTGCAGACACCTTCCCAAGGCCAGCCACAGTCACAGCCCCAGGTACAGTCTTCAACTCAAACTCTTTCTCCAGGACAAACATTAAGTCAAGTTACTGTTTCGTCCCCGTCTTATCCTCAGCTACAAACAAAGCAGCTGCAGCCCCAAGTCATTGCTGTGCCTGAGCTCCAGCAAGTCCAGGTTCTCTCTCAGATCCAGTCACAGGTTGTGGCTCAGATACAGGCTCAGCGAGGTGTTGTGCCCCAGCAAATCAAACTGCAGTTACCCATTCAAGTTCAGCAAAGCAGTGCTGTGCAGACCCAGCATGTTCAGAGTGTGGTCACAGTGCAGGCAGCCAGTGTGCAAGAGCAGTTGCAGAGGGTTCAGCAACTCAGGGATCAGCAGCAAAAGAAGAAGCAGCAGATAGAAATTGAGCGTGAACACACCCTCCAAGCTTCTAACCAAAGTGAGATCATTCAGAAACAGGTAAAGTCATTAAGTCAAAGCGGCATGTTCAGTAGCGTGAGTTATTGTGCTGTGCGGTAGACTTAGTGCTTTGGTTGTGGTAGCTTCCTGAATGAGACGAGGTCACTGGTGGGTAACCTTAGAAGACCAGAAACACTGCTTGCTGGTTCTGATTTGGGACTCCTTAATAGACATGTAGCATCAGTGCTTATCAGAAACCATCTTTCCCTGGTAGAAAACCAAGTGGTAAGGCCACCATCACAATGTAGCAATTCATTTGAAGGCATTTGATTTGCAAGTGTCATTCTTTCATTTGCCTATTGACTAAGCAAATTGTGGGCAGACTGAATTCATTTGCATTATTTGCCACACCTTTGTAAAAATGTCTTAAACCCAAATGTTGTCCATACCTTTCGTATAAGGTGGTGATGTTTAGCAGGGGCATCGTGGAGTAGTCCCTGGGTGCAATAAGTCGCTTTAGACAGCTAGAGTTCTGCCAAAACGAAGCTGGTGACCTGCAGTCTTTCTGAGGACACTCCTGTCAGCAGCCATGTGACCCCATCAGCGCTAGGCAAGAGGTTTCACGTCTTACCAAGCTCTGAAGCTCTGTTTTCTCCCTGAGCTGTATCTACATTAAAACTCGTCTCTCTCCAACCACATGGAATTGTTAGGATTAAATTCCATCATGTACATGATTGTGAAGGTGTAAGTTAATATTTCTTTAGGCGTAAGTCCTCTGTGACTTGTTCAAATCCCAGCTCTTGTACTATTTCATCTGTAAACCAAGTGTTACCTCAGTATCCATTTTCCAGATCTTGGTAGAGAGCAGGGTACTCTTCAACCTGGTGGTTGCACAGTGGGTGAGGCCCTTCAGAGCATGAGAGTTGGGTGAAATTTTGGGCTGTGTTATTTCCTATTTAAACTCAAGCAAGTTGGTTGATTACTTTGTCTCGGTGTTTAGTTGACAAAAAAGTATACCTGCGTTTCAGTGTTAATGGGGAATAAGCAATGTCAAATGCTTAGCGTAATTCGGTGCGTGGTGCACGGTAAGAACCTGAGACCACCCAGCAGCTTTCTATCTGTATTAGACAGTGCTTACAAGTTCAAACGCCAGCATGTGCTGTGCTTCCTCCTGTGTGCTAACTGGACTTGTGTCTTATAAAAATGTGCATTTATGGATCTGTTCTGTTCTCAAGGTGGTGATGAAGCATAATGCTGTAATAGAACATTTAAAACAGAAAAAGACCATGACTCCAGCTGAAAGAGAAGAAAATCAAAGGTAGGGAGAGACACAGGCCCACCTGAGAGTCTGCACAGTCTGGTTTGGCTTTGGTCTTACCCAAGTTTAATGTCCAGAGTGGCTCATAGTCACACCTTGAAACTCTGCAGTCAGTTTGTGCATCATTAGGGTCATAGACAAATGGTGCCTTGCCTTTCAGGGTGAAGCAGCCAGTGTTACAAATTACAAGGGTTGTGTGTTTTTCTCTAGAATGATTGTGTGTAACCAGGTGATGAAGTATATTCTGGATAAGATAGATAAAGAAGAGAAACAGGCGGCGAAGAAACGCAAGCGCGAGGAGAGTGTGGAGCAGAAGCGGAGTAAGCAGAATGCCAGCAAGCTCTCCGCTCTGCTGTTCAAGCACAAGGAGCAGCTCAGAGCTGAGATCCTGAAGAAGAGGGCGCTCCTGGACAAAGAGCTGCAGATCCAAGTACAGGTAGGCGTGTGCTCCTTGCCTGGCCAGCGCTAACACAGCTTCTTTCCTTCCCTCTTTAGTTAGGCTCACTGTCTAGGATTTACATACAAATGTTTGTCGCGCTAAGAGTGAAAGGCCCCTTGGCTTTTGAGATGAGGCAGACCTTTGAAAGTACAGCCGCCGTCCTCTAAGCTGAGATGGCTGTGCTGTCCTTTTGTTTTGTTTTGCTTTGGTTTTTCCAGAAAGAAAGAAGACAGAATTGTTACTGTGTGTGATGCGGTTATTACACTGACATCCCCAAGGAAACCATATTAACAATTTTTAAGAGAGTTAACGTTGCCAGAATTAGTACTAATACAGAATACAGCTGTTGTCATAGTGTCTCGGAGAAGAGAGCTCCTTCACAGTAGAATCAGAAAACTTAAAATACATCTTCACAGTTGGTGCTATGGTCCAGTTAGGTAAGAGATCTATTCACAGAGCATCAAACATTTAAATTACAGCCTCACACTTGACAGTATTTGACTATTCGGGGCCTGCATAACCCTAATCCTAGCCCTTGGGATTCAAGGATTCCAGGATTCAAGGCCTGGTCTTTACATAGTGAATTACAAGGCAGCCAGAAAGAACTACATAATGAAATCATATCATTCTCTCATTTTTATATATATAAAAATTTTAAATGCAGCCGGGCAGTGGTGGCACACACCTTTAATTCCAGCACTCGGGAGGCAGAGGCAGGTGGATCTCTGTGAATTCGAGGCCAGCCTGGTCTACAAGAGCTAGTTCCAGGACAGGCTCCAAAGCTACAGAGAAACCCTGTCTCGGAAAACAAAAAAAAAAAAAAAAGAAAAAAAATTAAATACAAAACAAATACTGTAAAAAAGTACTGTTGACTTGCAATTGCTTTCTTCTTTCTTTCATTTTATCTTTTTATAAGCATCTATATAAAGCCTTTGCCTTTGGTTGATTTCAAGCAGAATCTCTCTTTAGCACAATATTGGCTTCAAATTCCTGGGTCTCCTGCTTTAGCCTCTTCAATACTGGGGTTATGGCCTGTGCATCCATGTCCAGGGAAGGCTCTCCTTCCTGTGGAAGGACCACAAGATGACACTCAGCTGGTTAAAATGCTTGTCCTCAACCCTGGCAGCCTGAGCTCCACACACTAGACCTACATTTCTCTCACTCACACAGTTCTGCCTACATCTGCCTCCTAGTGCTAGGATTAAAGGTGTGCACCACCACTGCCAGTTTAAGTAGATCCTTCTAAGAGAGTCTGCATATGAACTAATACAAGACCTAAAACATGGCCTGCCTGGCAGGTAGTGAACAGAATAAGAGAGATTGTCCTTGTTTTGTCTAGATTTAAGATAGGAGACCTCAGAAACAAAATATACTATTTTCTAACCGAGTGCACAGTCCTAGCAGTCAAGAGACAGAAGCAGTAGGACAGAAGCTAAAGCACTTCTTTTGTAACACAGTGAGTTTGAGACTAGCCTAGCCTACTTGAGACCTTGTCTCAAAACAAAACAAATCCCATAACAAATTTAAAATATCTCATAACAAATAAAAAAAATTGGCCAAACCACACTAGTTTCTCTAAACACATTTGGCCATAAATTAGGATCCCGGGCCCGTGAGATGGTTCAGCTTGTCACAAAAGCCCGATGACCTGAGTTCAGTGCTCAGGAAGCTAAAAAAGCAGATGTGGTCAGCCATGCCAGCTTTCCTACAGAGGTAATGAGGGAGGCGGGGACAGAAACCCACCCCACAACTGACACCACACACCCTGGCTGACCTTAGGGCTCTACTGAGCTGGGACATTCTTTTAAAATGCTAATCCACACTGTCTCCAAAAAATCCAAACACACTTAAGTACTGTTTAAGAGGGGCTCTACCGACTGCAGCTACCCCCTCATCTCAGCCTGCGGCTCACACTCCAGCTCTAGACCTCTAGTTTCCAGCAGCTGAGCAATAGCTGGATGGATCCTTGCATCCACGGGAAGGAGAGCCTTCCCTGGACGTGGAGGGAGGGAGAGAGGGAGGGGAGGGAGGGAGGGAGGGAGGGAGGGAGGGAGGGAGGGAGAGAAGGAGGGAGGGAGGGAAGAAAACAAGGGGGAGGAGCTACTTGGCAGGTGGGAATATCCAGGTGCTGCCCAGTTGGCTACGTCTAGTAGCCCTGGTGATTATCTGTCTGTCTTCATTTGACCCCAGGAGGAGCTGAAGAGGGACCTGAAAATGAAGAAAGAGAAAGATATGGCACAGGTGGTACAGGTCAGTGCTGCCACAGTGTCCATACCTGCAGCACCAGCACCGCCACCGGCAGCCCCTCCAGCTCCTCCTCCTCCTTCGCCTCCCTTGGCACACAGTCTGCCACCTGCAGGCCACCCAGCAGCCCCACTGCCTGTCACTTCCCAGAAGAGGAAGCGGGAGGAGGAGAAGGACTCCAAGTCCAAGAAAAAGAAGATGATCTCCACCACCTCGAAGGAGGCCAAGAAGGACACCAGGCTGTACTGCATCTGCAAGACACCCTATGACGAGTCCAAGTAAGTGTCCCGCCCCGCTGGTGAGTGAGCATTTGTCAGCCCTGGGTGAGGGAGAGCCAGTGTGGGGCTGGGCTTCCTCTGCATCAGATACTTGGCTTGACAGTGCAGTAAGGGGGCTGTTTCACGTGCTCATAGGTCTTGCTTGTCCTCAGCAATGTCCTTTTCTGTCAAAAACAAGCTTGCTGTGGCCTTCTTTGCTTTCCCAAAGCTCTTTGTGGACTTGCTCCTAATCCGCAGCACTGCGACTGGCACTCAGGGCTTCCAATCTGTGGTGGCTGAAGCCCAGAGTCCATCCCAAAACAGATGGCACAGAGGCATCACATCAGTTCCCTTTTATTAAATATATGATATATATTTGTCTGTTTCCACTCTTACTGGAAAGAAAAACGAAAAACATAAAGTGTTCCTTTTACGCACTTTGTGAGTTTGACATTCAAAATTTATGAGCACAGCAATTGTAAGCTGTTTTTGACAGTTACGGCTTGTTTTTGGTGACATAAATGAGATTTTAGAGATTAATTAGTCCATAAATATATTTTCCTGTTCTTTTTTTTTTTAATTCTGTCTGGAACATGCAAAATATAAGCCAGTATTTTACAGTGCCACAAGTTTAACTGTGCTTTAAAAAACAGATTTAGCATTAGAAATTCCTAGTGTCTGTGTGGTGACAGCGGATCTGCTCCAGTGGTGCAGCTAAAACCCATCAGTTGCACATGTCTGGGGAGACTCTGCTGGGAGCCACGCTGCCTGTTGAGTGCAGCAGAGTGTAAGCGTCTCACTTCCTGTGTGTCCCTCATTGGTGATTGTTCATCATGTAGAGTGGCACCTGGGAACTAATTTCCCACTGTAATGGAGTACACGTACGTGTGCCTCGCTTTAAGTAAACACACTAGGGGAGTTCTGAAGCACGCTGAGGATAGGGAACTTTATTTAAATCAGCTGTGAGCTGACAAAAGTCTTCAGTCCACAGAAGAACATTTTGAAGCAACCTTCTTGGGATACTGATGTTACTTAAAATGAGGGACACATGTACATGTGCTCGTTCAGTTGAGACTGCCCATTATTTTGTGGCTATTTCATTTTTTTTTTTAGTTTGCCATTGACATTTCAACATAGCAGATCCATTCACTCCCTGTCACAGTTGGAGTAACTGGTATTTTATCAGTGCTTTGTGTTCTCAGACCAAACCAGCCTGGTTTGAGCATTGAGTCACAAGCTTCTAAGGGAGGGTTACTAAAAATTGCAACTCAGGTCCTGAAGTTCCTTCCAGAGCACGTAGTACCTAAAGAGGCAATATTTACAGGGCCTCAGAAGGTCCGCACCTGAGGCAGGGCATGTGGGAGTCGTGGTTCAGAAGCAAGGGTCCCTGGGAATCTGCTGGCATCTCACTGTGTGTTACTCTGCACAGTCTGAGGCATTCCTCTCGGTTAACTTGGTAGAGTGGAAGGGTACCTACCAGTGGTAGCCAGGCCAGCCTGGTAGCCTGAGAGCGAATGCAGCCCTGCACAGCACCTGGGCTCCTTTCCCTCCCTCTTCACACACTCCCCTCGCCAAACTCAGGAAACAGGGATGGCTGCATACATGGACCTTTCCTGGCTCTCTTCACATCACGTTTGACCATTCATCCTCCCCACCTGGCTGGCCTGCATGTTCCTTTACTGTAACTTCTCCTTGTGTTTGCGCTTTGCTTCATTTCCAATTGTAAATTGTGAGATACATTTTCAAACCTATCTAAGAAATAGCCCTGATATTGAAATGGCGTCTGTAGAATAGGTTTGACAGATGTAAGTCTTTGACTCTTTGGCTTTGGTTTTTGTGCCTGTTACAATTTCACACACATTCATTAAGAGGAAGCCATTACCATTGGTGTGTTGTTAATTTTTTTTTCTTCAAATTACATTATGTTTTAAAGACCCATATTTCACTAAACAGTGTGTTTGTTGAAATGGATGTGAGTGATTACGAGTCCACCCTTGGTACAGTGTCAGATGCTATAGTTTGCCACTAGAATGGTTGAATTCAGAGGGTTTAGCTGACTCATTGCAGAAATGACCCTTTAAGAAAGTGAATCAGGGTAGGGAAGACAGATTTACATGCCATGCAGCTCAAAATGACAACTACATTGTCATTTCATTGTGAATACTTTTAGGTTCTATATTGGCTGTGATCTTTGTACTAACTGGTATCATGGAGAATGTGTTGGCATCACAGAAAAGGAGGCTAAGAAAATGGATGTGTACATCTGTAATGATTGTAAGCGGGCACAAGAGGGCAGCAGTGAGGAATTGTACTGTATCTGCAGGACACCTTATGATGAGTCACAGTGAGTTGATAAGAGCATCTGTTTGACAATTCAGGAAGCCGCATTGCTCAACTGGTCCTTAATCTGAAAATGAAAAGCAGGGCCTCTCTGCTGTGTGTGTTATACACCTATCTACAAAGACTTTCCAGTTTTTTCTCTTTCCTTCTTTCTCTCTCCTTCAAAATGTATGTTGCTTCCTAGTGAATGATTGAGTTGCATTGGGGGAAATGTGGTTATAACAGTAGATTTGATTCTGATTCTTCAGTATTTAATAGAAAGTAATGTGATGTAAACAGCCTGACTGTGGGACTCCCCTTGTCTGAAGTGGTGCTTGGTTACAGGCTAGAGAAGCACCCTTTGGGATGAGCTGTGGCTGCTACTAGCTCACGGAGTTTTTAACTCTTATTTGATACGGGACTAGTGAAAAGATAATTTTTTTTGCCCCATTTTAAGCTTAAAATCAATAAAATGTTTTACATTTTTCCTCAAATTGGTTCTTTAGTATTACTTAGTACTTAATACATGTTTGCTGTTGTTCTTAACATCTTACGTGCTTGGTTAGCACATTGGAATGTCAGTCTCAAGAGTAGTAAAACATCATAATACTGAAGTTATTTTATACCCCAGGGTTAGCCAGTTTTCATGCATGGTGGTGTTTAGAGGTGAATTCTAAGCAGACGGAGCCCGTTCTGTCTGGCCTCACATTTCCATTTTGGATCTTGCAGATTTTATATTGGCTGCGATCGATGTCAGAATTGGTACCACGGGCGCTGTGTTGGCATCTTGCAGAGTGAGGCAGAGCTCATTGATGAGTATGTCTGTCCACAGTGCCAGTCAACAGAGGATGCCATGACAGTGCTCACACCACTGACAGAGAAAGATTATGAGGGCTTGAAGAGGGTGCTGCGCTCCTTACAGGTGAGAGGCTGCTGCGTGTGGCATCCGAAGATGAAACTAAACCCACCAGACTGTGAAGACATGCCAGGGACTGAACTTGTCATTCTCCAGTTCGCACACCTGGCTGTCTCCCAGCACTCAGTGAAGGGCTAAACAAAGTGCACTTTTGTGCGTTCAGTGACATGAAGATCCTGAATGGCCCCTCTCTGCTGGTGCTTGTCTAATGCTAGAGAGTCGGAGGGCATAGACGGGAAAACAGTTTGATTCAAGTCTGGTTATTCTCTCGCTGAAATGAAAGAATAGGGAAAATTGGGAGTGTTAGAGATGAGTCAAAACAGGACATTGGATAAATCTCTGCAGAACCATGGTCACAGAGTCAGAACTGGCAAGTCAGTCCCAGTTCCTGGCTGCTTAACAGCTATGCCTGCCACCTCATTACCAGCAGTGGTCATCACTGCACACTTCAGACCTGTCCACCCCAGTTACTGAAGGGATTGCTGTGCCAGCGTTCCTCAGCTGGCAGTTCATCATATAGGAGCCAGAGTGTAGATTGCATGACTCCCTTGCTGTGTCCCATACCTGTCTCCAAGGGCCTCCGATCAGAGCCACCTTTGAGGACTGTGACTAAATCATGCTCATTTAAGAAAATTTGTGACTACCATCTGAAGTCACCTTGTATAAACAGTTTCCTTTGTTGATCCGGGAGTCAGCTGAAGTGTGTGTGTGTGTGTGTGTGTGTGTGTGTGTGTGTGTGTGTGTGTAAAATGTACTTCTGCTGACAGTAATGACACTTGTTCTCTATTGTAGGCTCATAAAATGGCTTGGCCTTTCCTTGAGCCAGTAGACCCCAATGATGCACCAGATTACTATGGTGTTATTAAAGAGCCAATGGGTAAGTGCTTGAGCTGAACAGGAACATGTTTCTCAGGAGTCGTGGGCAGCATTTTATCATCCATGATGCTGATATATCAGGAGAGTATCTTGGGCATGCAGGTGACGGTGTAAACTGTATCGGTCACTTTGGATGGTTACTAGAGGCAGCTTCTGAAGCTACGTTTCCTAGGCACTCTTAGTTCAGGCTGAGTCTGACTCCTCCTGCCTGCGCCTCCCAAGTGCTGAGGTTACAGGAAGGCACCACCACCATCTGGGAATATCTATTAAAATTTACATGTGAATGCCTTTAAGCTAGCGGCTAACATGGGAACAGAGCATATTCATGGCAGCAGTGTTTGTGCTGGCATAATGCTGGAAATGCAATAAACTGCCAGTTCAGGAGTCACTGAGTCACACCATGTATGAGCAGGGTTCTGCAGCTCTGCAAAGAATGGGTGGAGTCAGGGAACCTGGCCTGATGGACAGGCAGATCAACCACCAGTGGAAAGCCAAGGGGAGGGAAAACTGTCATATAAGAAGGGGCAGCTGTGTGCAGTTGACTCAGAATAATGTGCCAGCTGAACAAGTTTTAAAAAAGCAGAAAAATTTCCAAACCGTTGAAGCATTCCCTCTAGCTGATAAGAATTGTGTCCTTAGAAGAAGGGAGAACATGAAGCGGATGGGAAGGAAGATTTATTAAACCCATCTGAGGGCTGAGCAAACAGCTCAGGTAGAGTGTTCGCCTTACATACTTAGAGGCATGGGACAGTCGGTGATGCCCATTCCCTGTTCGGTGTCTTCAGAACAGTGATTCTGATGCCTTTGTGTGGCTTAGCAGTTGAATGTACTCGAGCTGGAGAGATGGCCCAAAGGGTATAGGACAGGTGGCTGCTCTGCCAACAGGCCCAGGACTGAGTTCGGACACCCAGACAGATGGTTAGCTCCATCTGTAGCACAGGGGGATCCAGCTCCCTCGCTCAGCACACGTACATGGTGCTTTCAAAGTGATTTGTTCTTAATTTATTAGCCAACTTCAACTTTTAAAATTATTTTTGTCTTGTGATTTTTGAGACATTTCATTCTGTAGCCCATCTTGGCTTTGATCTCCCACTAAGAGCAGTCAGCTCCTCGGGTTCACTTTTAAAGAGCCAGGGTGTGCTTTCCAGTGTCTCCTTCTGCTGTTGTAATGTCAGCTCAGCGTCATATGCATCTGTTCTTAGCCATGCCAAAGAAATGCCGACCTGCAAGTCATTGTTGGGAGAAGTGAAAGCTGCCGTCTGTGTCTAGCTTTTAAGCAATAAAACATCATATTCCTGTCATCTCTAATCCCTTTTTGTTTTGAGATGGGGTCTCACTCTGTAGTCCTCGATGCCCTGGAACATGTAATCTTCCTGCCTCAGCCCCCTGGGTGCTGGAATTACTGGTGTGTACCACCATTCCCAGAGGCAATTATATATTTACTAAAAGTTTATAAAGGTGTGTAAAAATGTCTAGATGCGGGGCCGGGCGGTGGTGGCGCACGCCTTTAATCCCAGCACTTAGGAGGCAGAGGCAGGCGGATCTCTGGGAGTTCGAGGCCAGCCTGGTCTACAAGAGCTAGTTCCAGGACAGGAACCAAAAGCTACAGAGAAACCCTGTCTCGAAAAATCCAAAAAAAAAAAAAAAATGTCTAGATGATGTAGACTAACTTTAAAATGGTAGGCTGCTTTGAGAGCTCAGTGAATCAGTGTGGTATTACTAAGCTTAATGTAAGATTATAAAACCACTACTGATGGTATTCATAATTCTATATTGTGTTCATACCTCAGGATTTTAATTAACCTTAGTCATTATGCAAAGTTGTTTGTGTTTGCTGTTTTACTATACTATGAAAGATAAAGATAAGCTGGTGGTAACACACACCTCTAGGCGGATCTCTGTGAGTTTGAGGCTTGACTGGTCTACAGAGTGAGTACCAGAACAGCCAGGACTACACAGAAACCCTGTACGTAAAGACAATTTCTGCTGGATGGTAGTGATGCACGCCTTTAATCCCAGCGCTAGGGAAGCAGAGGCAGGTGGATCTCTCTGAGTTCAAGGGGGTGGGGGCAGTTGAATGAAAGTGCTTTCTTAGGAGCAGCCAGGATGGAGTCTTAGAGCCCAAAGCAGAGCCAGTGTTGAGCAGTGTGAGGCGCCCTTGCCTATCATAAACTGCCCTCCAGGTCTGGGATTTGGAGTAAACACACATGCTGAGTTCACGAGAGCTTCAGGGCACGGCCGCATTGGGAAAACCTTAAAACTTTGAAAATATTTATGTTTTGTGTTTTTAAGACCTTGCCACCATGGAAGAAAGAATACAAAAACGGTATTATGAAAAGCTGACAGAGTTCGTGGCAGATATGACCAAAATTTTTGATAACTGCCGTTACTACAACCCCAGCGACTCCCCCTTCTACCAGTGTGCAGAAGTCCTTGAGTCCTTCTTTGTACAGAAGCTAAAAGGATTCAAGGCCAGCAGGTAAGCGCGGGTGCTCAGTGTTCAGATGTAGACCACTTCTTCAAGCTCTGCATTGTCTTAGTGAAGTCTTCATGGTAAGTTTGTTCCTTCAAATAAAAAAATACTATTCCTACAAAGTCAAGACTACAACATTATGCTAGGCTTGGCAATGCTCAACTCTAATTCCAGCACTCTGGAGTCAGAGGAGTTGGTGAGTTTGAGTTCAGCGTGGTCTACATAGAGAGTTCAAGGCCAGCCAGGGCTATATAGTAAAGTCCTGTCTCAACAAACGATTAAAACAAGATGATGGCATTATGACCTACTCTTCAGGAAGGGAGGAGGTCATTACTGAGAAAGCCCTGCGTCTGTTATGTGATTAAAATGAAGTCACTTTGTGAAATGCTGTCCATGGGGGTCTGTCTGCAGGACTGTGGTGAACAGGGAGGGCTCTGCCCCCACCCTTGAGCCACCCAAGGAAAAATCCACAAGAGGGCTTTACACACTTTCCTTGAGTTGTGTGTCCTATATCTTAGAAATCATCAAATGATGGTTTCTGGGTGTTTTTTCTACATTATACTAGACCCTAGGTTCTCAGAGTTTTTCTTTTCTAGTTTTGTTTGTTTGTTACTTATTATTATATATGCAGTGCCCTGCCTGCATGTCTGCCTGCACTCTAGAAGAGGGCATAAGATCTCATCATGGATGGTTGTGAGCCACTAGTGGTTGCTAGGAACTGAACTCAGGGCCTCTGGAAGAGCTGAGCCATCTCCACAGCCCCCCTCAGAATTTTTCTAAACCATGAAAACACTGTAGCAAATTTGCATGAAATTTTGTTACTGTGACCTTCCTGCCCTTTGTCCCATCTCAAGTTCTTTCTCCTATAGAGCCTTGGTACCTCTCCAGTGCTGACAGCTCTATCACTACTACCACTCTGTGGCCTTAAGTATCATCATTCTCCACGCCACCCACCACTGGATCAGTCGCAAACATTCAGGTCCTGGAGACCTTGGGTGGGTCGGAGCCTGGGCATATATTATCTAAGGCATTTATAAAAGATTCCATTCCAAATATCAGAGTCAGCGCTGTGGGCCCCAGGTGAAGCTCAGTGACAGAGCGCTAGCATGCATTCTGGGGTCACTCCCAGGTACACACACGGATGCGGTGTTCTGCCTTGTAGTCTCCCTCTGTGGAAGGTCTTGGGGCTGTTTTGTCTTTCTTCTCCTATAGCAAGAACTGCACATTAGAGTGTTGGAACATGTATAGTAGAGGAATGTTATAACAGCTAATAGCTGAGTTCACCAAAATCTCATCAATAGTGAGCAGATGGGGAAAAAAAACAGTCCATGAATCCAGTGCAGACCTCATCCGGATTCTTGTAGAGGACTAAGGAGAGGTCCTGGCATACTGCCCAGAGAACCCACATGTGTAAATTCAAACATTTAATAGAAAAACACACAGAAAAGTAACCTAAGGCCCATGCAACTGTGTTGGAAATAGTGCAAGCATCTAGCACATGGAAGTCAGAGAAACTCTTACCAAATTCTGCTGGGCAGGCCAGCCTCCATGACAAAGAGTGAACCATCCCCAGAATGTCACGGGGAATGCTGAAAAATTCATTCTTCATCTAAAGTGAGAATTACAAGTTGGAGACCTAGCAAGTTCCTGTCTCAAATAGCAGAGAAGTAATTGCCCATCAAGTGATACCCTTGAAGATTAGCAGACACCAAGAGCAGCCAGACGTGCAGGGAAAGCCTGCATTAGTGAAGCAGAAGTCCACAGTGGAGAAGAAAACTATAGTCCAGAATGAACACCAACTTTTCCCAAACAGAACACACCTCTGCGTCAAGCACGCTGCACTTTGATCCTAGAAAACAGGTTATTGGGAGTAAGCAAACCTAAGATAGTAAAATTAGGAAGACAAAATTGTAAGTGCTGAAAGCTCACGTCAGGAGAATTATGAAATAAGAATGTTGCTGTGCCTGAAACTCAGTGAGAAGTCTAGACAGAGGAGACTGCTAGCTAGTATACCAGGGCGGGAGGACAGGTGGAAGAGCGAAGTAAAGCTTCTCAATGCCAGAGCAGGGCAGGATTAGCCTGCCGATAGTCTTCATGGAAGGGGAGGTGAAATCCCAGCCCCTCAGGAAATGTGGTCAGTTTGCATGTGTCCAGATGGGTTGATGGGACATAGTGAGAGCAGGACCCTTGTTAATGGTGTGTGAATGTTACTACTGCCAGGTGTGTGCTCTAGCATTCACCATAAAGAGTTGGGCAGAGGCAGCGCTGTTGCATTGCCGCTCTCTCCTCTCCGGGCAGCTGTTCGCCCGGTTTAAGGCAGGTGCAGGGCAGGCGGTCCTTAAGGCCTCTTCTGTTTTTGCTGTTCCCCTGGCCAAACCCTCTGTTTTTAATTTGTGATCTCCCAAGATTGTGTGCACATTATTCTCATTTCTTTGTTCTGGTTCATTTATACCATCCATGTTCTTTCTTTTCTTACAGATTGTGATATCTTTAGTCTGAATTTTTTAACTGGAATCAGAACTGGATGTTGGGGTCACTGTTTATTGTACCACGTGATTGCCTAATTTGAAATTCCCCTCCCAAAAGTTGAAACTAGTTAATATAATTTTTTGATGTTAAATACAGATGTGTAGATACGTAAAAACTTTATTCTGGCAGCCATGTTGGACAACGTGTTTAAAGAATTGTGACTGCTCGGGATGCTGTGCTCACCTGCTATTGCAGTCTGAAGCGCTGTGAGTTAGTCCTGCTTCCTGTACAGTAACGTGGTTCCTAGCAGACGTTGTGAATGAAACTGTGAAAAGTGGAGGACTTTGTGGACTTGAGTTGGAAAATGTGATATTAATATTGCTACTTGTCTAATACAACCTTTCATTTCCTGCGTCATTGTAAATAGACAGGCACACACACCTTTTACTGCAGTGATGCTCTGTAAATGTCTCTGTCCCATTTGTTAAAAATGGTGTAATCTTAATAAACAATATATATTCACTTATATATATATATTTTTAAACATTGGCTTTTTCCAGTGAGCTACCATGTTTACTGTACAGTGAAAAGTTTTATTACTATAGCTTACAGATTTCTAACTTGTCAGCTTTCTCAGCTTTGCTTGCCAAGGATGAGTGGAAGAGCATGGCTGTTCCCCAGGCCACCTTGGCCTCCACATCAAGTGTCACTGTCTCAGAAACCAAGGGTGCTTAATTGTCCCCTTTTCTGTATTCTGTAGGTCTCATAACAACAAGCTGCAGTCTACAGCTCCTTAAGCTCAGCGTGTCACCTAAGCGAGACACAGTCTGGTGGTCTGCACTGTTTAAATTAAAGCGCCAGATGCTTTCGGTCAGGCTGTTCCGACAGGACTGACCATGACTCGTTCCTGTTGGTCACAACAGTCCAGTTGTATTCTTGGCCAGTTTTGTCCAACGGACAAAGGAAAAGCAGAGTCAACGGCACCGTTGTCTTGTGGGAGCAGAGGGCTTTACTGTTGTGCAGAAGCAGGAAACTTTTGTTTATTGAAAAAAAAAAGAAAAAGCAAGAAAAAAAAGATACTATGGGGTCAAGTGTAACTCCGTGGAAATGCCACGTCTGCTCTTCAGTGAAGAAGCTGTTTAGAGTCTCACAGAAAACTTTTTGACTGTATTTATTTATTGTTGCAAAAAAAAAAAGACGCTTTTTTATTGCTCCCTCGTGTGTCAGCTAATTATTTTTTCTTATAAAAATCCAGCCCTGGTTCGTGTATCATCCTATCTTATCATGATTCCTGTAGGTGACGTACAAGGCGACCTCTAGATGTCTTTTCTTTCTATGAAAGGAGCTGCTAATGTACACATGTGCACACAACTGGGAATCAACAATGAGTTTATTGTTCACGGTAGACACAGATGAAGCTTGCAAAAAGGCTGGGATAAGTGGTCCTGGACTACAGACTTCGTTGCCTTGAATACACCAGTACAAACTGTCATTCACTCTGCACCAGGCTAAGTGAGCAAAATCTATTTGAAGGTATCTTGTTTGTAAACATTTGTCAGATTCTAATTTTTTTCTTTTTGTATTAAAATTCAACTATGGATGTATATGAATCGAAATAAATGGAGATAATTTTTCTCCCACAGATGGAGGTCTCTTTGAATGTGCGCTAATGATTACTTGTAAGCCCTTGTGGGGAGAGGGAGAGCCACCAGAAATCCCAGGCAGTTTCTCCAGTAGAGCAGAAGCCCTTCTCTTCATAACTCCCCACCCTTTGTCATCACATCAGAGAAAACCTCTAGTGTGTCAGTTGGTCATCCCTCTAAGAACAGGAACGTGACACAGTACAAGCCAACTTCATCCCCACCTTCTGTGATCCTAGGCAGCTCCCTGTCTGTGGGGTGAAGGTTGTGTAGATGACCTTGGCTGGGCTCCTTTGGGAAGGGTGCAGGCAGCAGACCGGTGTGTTCTGTGTGTGCCTCCTGCCAGCGCCCTCTCCTTCCCTCGTGCTGCTCACCCTGTCGTGAAATCAGCGGAGCTGGGCTGTGCAGCTTTGCAGGCGTTCTAGACTTTGCACTAGTCCATATTAGCCTTGTCCTGCTGAATTCTAGAATCTACCTAGTTTTTGTTTTTTTAAAGTCTTCTCTGTTTGGTGTCGCCCTGCTATGCAAAGCCTTCCCCAGCCCTTAGTTTCTCAAAAGGAAACTGTGGCAGCAGTTGGCAATTCTTTCTCCTTACAGGCTCAGGTGTACAGGTTCAGGGTTCACATGCTCTGTGGAAGCCCACTCCCTCTGTACATAAAGATGATGCTTTGGCCTATGGTTACAGCTAAAGCAACTAAATGCTCAATGTGGTAACAGTTTTTGCTTAAACTATTAGGTGGAAGTAGTTAAATACAGGCTATTTTATCCTTTTAGTTTACAAACAGAAAATGTTCCATGTTGTAAGCACTGTGCTGATGCAAGAATTCTACATTTTCATGAGATAAAGTGATTCTGCATCTAGTCACATCACAGTACTCTTGTCCCATCCAGTCACACATCTAGGTATAAATGGGCTCAATCACTTATGCTTGTTGCCCCAAGAGCTTTCCTACCTGTAGGCAATAGACTGCTATGTTTTTACAGATTGTAGCAAATTCTAAATAATTCTTTTTGTACGTAATAGGACATTTCATCCTAAAAAAATAAAGTAATGTTTTTGACATTGGATTCTGTGCAGTTTCTAATGAAACAATGGTCGGTTGGTTTGTTGTTTGATATATTTTCTGTAGCTGTTGGCATTGCCAAGTTGTACAGAAGGGGGGTGGGTTGTGAATTTCTGAGACCGGGAAGATGTTAATTTCATATTGTGTACTTAATGGTATAAAGACTTTTGCAATTTCTATCACCATATAAAGACATTTTATAATTTTATCAGACTATAGAGCTTTAGTCTTTCAAAAGGAATTTTTGAAAAAATCATACATTCTTATTTCAAAAGCTGCTTTTCTACGAATCTGATTTGAGGAACTTCTGCTACTGAATAAAACGTTAAGCTGTTGGCTTGGGCAGCCAGAGTGCTCTGATGTGCATTGGTGATGTTAGGACATTCTGCCTGGGCTTCGCACCTATAACCTGTATGTTCTTGGCTTTGATAGATTTCTCTGGCTAAAAGTATTTTTAGCATTTCCTGTGCTTCATCTCCAAATTCACAATTTGAGGCCATTTCATAAGAGATATTTTCATAATGTCTGCAAGGCTTTTTTTCTCCTGTGCAAATTCTTCAGGGTTTGTATTTAGCTATCATACAGTAAGGTCAGCCAAATTGTGATGGTTTGGAGATGTCTCTACAGTCAGAGTGGCCTGGAGTGCTGTGTAGGAGCCCTGACGATGTGTTGCCGTTTGTAGCCTCCTCCTAAGATCTGCAAATAAAACTTCTTGCCCTGTCTCTGTCCGTTTGTGTCACACTGTAAGAGCCAAACCTGGTGGTTGCACGCTCAGATCGACGGCCGCATTCACTCTGTGTGTGTGTGTGTGTGTGTGTGTGTGTAAGTTTATTTTATGTGTATGAATGTTTTGCCTGCATGTATGTGTATGTGCACCAGGTGTCCATAGGGGGCAGAAGAGGATATTGGATCCCCTGGAACTAGAGTTTACTAAGGTCCTAAGCCACCAAGTGGGTGCTGGGAACTGAACCCAGGTCCTCTGCAAGAGCGGCCAGTGGTTTTTAACTGCTGAGGCATCTCTCCGGCCCCTGGGATTCACTCTCATCCCAGAAGAGGCAGATTCCAGCAGGGTCTTGAACTTGGAAGCGTTATTCTCTCCTGAGCAAAGTACTGGCTGATAGGTCCATGAAGAGCAGGGACAAGAATGCTGGGGGGCGGGGGGGGGGGGGAGCCATCTGGTGTCGTTTGAGGAAGACATTTCTGAGACTAGGATACCCCTTGATCCAGCCAAATTTCACCTAGCAAAATACTGTCTTTTCAGACTGGAAGAGACCACACAGCAGCCGAGAGTGCCTTGCCAGCTGCAGGCAAGTGGGCTTGCACATGCCTCCCCTTGGTTACCTTAAATGAGTTCAGAAGAGAACTGCACGATGCCATGTGATAGTTAAAACTTAGTATCACACACACCAAAAGGCAGGAGGGGGAGGGAGACTGTGTCCTTCCCCCCCCTCCATGAATCCTTGAAGTAACAGCTTAATTTGAAAGACAGACACTATTGAATTAGTCTTGAAGGCAACTGAGTGCTTTATTGCTGAGGGACATAAACACAATGGCCCTTTAATCTTTAGAGCAGGGACCCATGTACTGGGGGTGGTGGAATCTATCAATGGGACAAAAGGATTATTATCAATGAGACAACAATGATTTGCTCATTAAATTTTTCTATAAAATTAGAAATTGCAATCAAGGTCCTGTGTGAATGTTAAAAAAGTGATTCTTCAACCTTTTTGCTAGCCTGGGATCTCCAGGGTTCCTTTCCACCTCCTTTCCCAGTCTCCAGCCCTACCACTGACCGCAGCTGAGCCTTGCTAGCCTTGCCGACCCAGCCTTGAGTGACGGCTTTCGTTCCTATTCAGGCAGCCTCTACAAGTGGCCTGTATTTGTGCAGTAACCTGACCTCCAAGTCCACTGAACCTCGGAGTCTGACTTTGGCGTTTGTATGTAGGGAGGTGTGAACGCAGGTGCCCAAGGAGGCCAGCAGAGGGCACAAGATGCCCTAGCACCAGAGGTACAGGGAATTGAGAGCCACTTGATAGCAATGCTGGGAGCTGGGCTCCAGTCTTCTGACGATCTGTGCAATCTCAAGCTCCCACTGCCTCTTTCTGGGACAGAGCCTCCTGTAGCCCAGGCTGGCATTACAGGCTTATTCTACCATACTTAGCATTCAAAAACAAAACAGATTTCAATGAATTTAGACACGTCTCATCTTTGGAAATTTCTCTAAAAGACCTTTAGCTGGAAGTTTGTAATAGAGTTAGTTGCAAGGAGCCTGCAATGCCCTTTGTCCCGTGACCTTAAGTATAGGGCTAATCTGGCCTCTAGCAGCTCCAGCCAAGGCCACATGTGAAAAAACAACAACAAAAGAAGTCCCTTAGTAATACTTTGCCACGAAGTAGAACCTCTCAGCTTTATTTTAGTAATGTTTCCCTTGTTACCATAGCTGCACATGGCTGTTTTCTTTCCCTCAACAGGTCATCCTGGCTGTCCTGGAACTCACTCTGTAGACCAGGCTGGCCTCAGACTCACAGACGTCACCTGCCTCTGCTTCTCTGGTGCCGAGATTAAAGACCTGCACCACCTTCCCCAAGCATTCTGTTCTTTTTTGGGACCGGGTTTCATGTAGCTTTTGAGCCTGTCTGACCTTGAACTCACAGAGATCTGCCTGTCTCTGCCTCCCGAGTGCTGGGACCACTACCCAGCGATTCGTGCGTTCTTGGCATTTATTCTGAGATTAACTGAAATACAGCCTGGTCATCTGAAAGGAGAAACAGTATAGTATGTCCTTGTGGACTCGTGTATAAAGTGATTTACTCAAGCAAACAAACAAATGGCTCCTACACTGACCTTTGAACTGTCAGTAGTGAGCACTGCTTCCAGGGTTTGGGAAGGAAGTTTAGAAAGGCTTTTCTCAATGTTTAGGATCACTGAGGGGGAAAAAAAAGCCAGGTGCATCCAAGATCTGATTTCAAGGCGAGATTTACTGCTTGACAAACACAATGGTGATACTGGGTCTTAACAGAAAAATGACATCAGATACACCAGAAAACATGCTGGAATAGAAGCCAGTTTGACACAAAACAGGCTATTGGGAGCAAGGAGGCATGACAGTACACAGGGGTACATCATGAACACACTTTGAATGATGTTTTGCTTGAATTGGCCCTTGAGATGTAAAATTTTCATACTTGGCCTGGGCTCTGACCTTAGTGTCGCCTCTGACACTTCATATGTAAATGAATTCTGATGGGGATGTTTACTCTCATGTGGAATTCAAAACTCAATACTTTAAATACGAAATCTGGCTTGACACATGATAGATACTATTCAAAGCTGTATATTTAAATTAAAGAAATGTTTGTGAACTATTTCTACTGGGGAAAATGTATTAAATTAAATAACTTAAAAACAACACGAAGTGGTGTGATCTGTTGACCTGGCAGGTCAAGTCAGGTCTGAGCTGTGTCACTGTCTGTAACTTTACCACTGTGCTGGGGAGCATAGCTTGTCAGCATTTTGTCAATAAAGTGGCAGCTTCAGAGTTAAGCTGCACACGTAGTTCTTATTAAGGTAGCTTAGCTGTGGGCCCAGTTTCAAGTAGCAGAACCCCCACTATGTGCAGACTGACCTTCCGTCTTACTGCCGAGTTCAAGGCTCTTGGGATGGCACAGGTGTCGAGAGTTGATCTGTTCAAATGCACCGAGCGTGGCTGGCATCTCGAACTTGCCACTCCCGTTTTCGGTTAAATCTTTTGACATAGCTGCTGCTACCCCTGAGCAGTCCGTCTCCTGGACGCAGGCGCCCTCTCAGGACCTGGAGCAGAGCACTAGGGAGCTGCCGTCTCTTATGGTAGATGTGGCCCATCACAATATACCGGCTTCCTGAACAAAAGAACCCGAGGAGAAACGAGGTCATTTAAATGCCAAGAAACGGTGAAATCTGA